ATTGTGCGACAAACAAACCCCACTCGTTTGTTTCTTAAATAGCGAAGTATTTGCACGTAGGTGTAAGTGCCATAATCATGAACGCGACTCTCATTTCACCTCACATCTCCACGTATATAGATTTACATTACGAATGAACCTTATTTGTATGACTGCTTGAAGTCTTTCATGCCTCGGGAAAAAAAACACTGGCGTCATCAAATCGACCCAAGAACCGTGGAACGTCGAACTTTCTGTGGGTACACTGCTCCTGAACCTCCACGAAATACATGAATATCCACGAGACTCCCGTGTGTTTTTCCACATACTCGTACATGACAAGAACTGACGTTGATGTCTTCCCTTAGTGACAGATATAGAGGAAGATAGTGGTCCATAGAAAAAATCAGAGCTAATAAGGCGTCACGTTCCCATGTGTTTGTCTTATAGTCCGTTTTTTAACCCAGAGTCGATAATCGTTATTTCCACACTTAGTACGTGGTCCAGTTTCTTCGTATTCCGTGGCAGAGATCGATATCATTGGACGATACAATCAGCCGCTGGCGAGTTCCCTTTCTTGAGTTGTTTTGTATATAGCATCATACCATCCTTTATCCCAGATCTATATGTTACATGTAGTATCACATCATCCTTTATCCCAGATCTATACGTTACATGTAGTATCACATCATCCTTTATCCAAGATCTATATGTTACATGTAGAATCACATCATCCTTTATCCCAGATCTATATGTTACATGTAGTATCACAACATCCTTTATCCAAGATCTATATGTTACATGTAGTATCACATCATCCTTTATCCCAGATCTATATGTTACATGTAGTATCACATCCTCCTTTATCCAAGATCTATATGTTATATGTAGTATCACATCATCCTTTATCCCAGATCTATATGTTACATGTAGTATCACATCATCCTTTATCCAAGATCTATATGTTACATGTAGTATCACATCATCCTTTATCCCAGATCTATATGTTACATGTAGTATCACATCCTCCTTTATCCAAGATCTATATGTTATATGTAGTATCACACCATCCTTTATCCAAGATCTATATGTTACATGTAGTATCACATCATCCTTTATCCCAGATCTATATGTTACATGTAGTATCACACCATCCTTTACTCCCAGATCTATATGTTACACGTAGTATCACATCATCCTTTATCCAAGATCTATATGTTACATGTAGTATCACACCATCCTTTATCCAAGATCTATATGTTACATGTAGTATCACATCATCCTTTATCCCAGATCTATATGTTACATGTAGTATCACACCATCCTTTACTCCCAGATCTATATGTTACACGTAGCATCACACCATCCTTTATCTCAGATCTATATGTTACATGTAGTATCACATCATCCTTTATCCAAGATCTATATGTTACATGTAGTATCACACCATCCTTTATCCAAGATCTATATGTTACATGTAGTATCACACCATCCTTTATCCCAGATCTATATGTTACATGTAGTATCACATCATCCTTTATCCCAGATCTATATGTTACATGTAGTATCACATCATCCTTTATCCCAGATCTATATGTTACATGTAGTATCATACCATCCTTTATCCCAGATCTATACGTTACATGTAGTATCACATCATCCTTTATCCAAGATCTATATGTTACATGTAGTATCACATCATCCTTTATCCAAGATCTATATGTTACATGTAGTATCACACCATCCTTTATCCCAGATCTATATGTGACATGTAGTATCACATCATCCTTTATCCAAGATCTATATGTTACATGTAGAATCACATCATCCTTTATCCAAGATCTATATGTTACAAGTAGTATCACATCATCCTTTATCCAAGATCTATATGTTACATGTAGCATCATACCATCCTTTATCCCAGATCTATATGTTACACGTTGTATCACATCATCCTTAACATCACAGATCTATATGTCACACGTAGAGTCACACCATCCTCTACTCCCAGATCTATATGTTACACGTAGAATCACACCATCCTTTACTCCCAGATCTATATGTTACACGTAGCATCATACCATCCTTCATCCCAGATCTATATGTTACACGTAGCATCCCACCATCCTTTATCCAAGATCTGTATGTTACACCTAGTATCACACCACCCTTTATTCCCAGATCTATATGTTACACCTAGTATCACACCACCGTTTACCTCAGACCTACATGTTACACATAGTATCACACCACCCTTTACCCCAGATCTATGTTACACGTAGTATCACACCACCCTTTACCCCAGATCTATGTTACATGTAGTATCACATCCTCCTCTATCTCAGATCTGTATGTTACATGTAGCATCACACCATCCTTTATCCCAGATCTCTATGTTACCCTTAGTTTTACAGTATGCTGTTCAACAACATCTATATAACGTACACAAAGTATTGTTAGTCTTTAGCAGCCCATGACTTGGTTGATGCGTGTCACCGTATCCCGGTTACGTAGTTCTATGCTCATTGTGTCACTCACTGGATTAATTACAGATCGCCGTCATATTGCTGAGTGCGGCGTTAAACAACAAACACACAAAACATCGCACTATTTCTTCTGCAATATTTACTTGTTAAGCATTAGCCATTATGCACGGCAATATATACAGATATAAATACAAGTTTACCAGTTGCTATTATAATAATATCTAAGCATTTCTTAAGCCCTCGTATCCAGTTAAGAAGACTGCTCAAAAGCGCTGGCAGAAAACTCTAACACAGATGGGGTTATACTACAAGTAGGTGTCCCTGAAGAGGTAGGTCTTCTGTCTGCTCTGGAAGCTGCCCAGGTCTTGGGGACTTCTGATGTCAAGGTGAAGGCTGTTCTACAACGTTGGAGCTACTCGTGCAAAGCAGCCATCACCAAATCTGGTTGTTCGTCACGTGGGTATGCACAGTAGCTGTTGATCACCTGAACGCAGATTGCGTCTGGGTTCATACTCACAAATCATGTTCTTGATAAATGCTGGTGCAAGACCTTGTCTTTCTTTGAAGATTAATGTGAAGACCTTGTACTTGATACGGTCACCACCTTGAGCCAGTGAAGGTCCTTTAATATTGGTTTGATGTGATCTCGTCTTTTGGTCTTTATTACTAGCCGTGCAGCGCAGTTCTCGATGCGCTAAGTGATGCTGTGGTGTGCCAAGAAGCAAAGCAATACAATAGTCAACATGGGACTTTACACATGCCTGTACTAACTATATATACACTACTTAAGAGGGGTGACAGAAGGTACGAAGGATGCATAGTATACCCTTAACATTGTTCATAGTACAGCCTGAGCAGTGTGTATGTATTGAAGCTGCATTTGAACCAACTACATAACAAGGCAGCAATTTTTTGCAGGCACCAAAATGACTTGGTATTCTCTGTTGATGCCAATGGACAAAACTGGTTACCGTCAACTGCCACCTTGACCAGGGTTCGATTCCCGACATAGGTGAAACATATTTCTGGTGTCCCCCGCCGTGATACTCACTCACTCACTCACTTTGACGTTAGTAGGTGTTTCTTATGCAATGGTGTTATTCGTCTCGTGCATGCTTTTGCCAGTAGTTTCCACATTCTAGTATCAAAATCCCATTTTCAATAAGATTCGAGGTGTAGTTCTTTCCGCTGTACTAGTATGCACATCACGTCTCGTCAAGGACAACCTTCAGCATGTGTAATACATGGCTCAAACTTGTCAACGTATGACCTTGCACCAAATCAATCGACTGATTGCCGTCCTGGGCCCGGTTCCTCAAAGCGATCTTAGCGCCATTGAGTTCGTAACTTCCATACTTTAACTTAGGCTTACAAGAATCGTAGCGCCGAGATCGCTTTGGAGAAGGGGTCCTGGGCCCACTTGCACAAAGCGATCTTAGTGCTAAGATGATCTTAACTCCCATACTTTAACATAGGCTTACAATAGTCTTAGCGCTAAGATCGTTTTGTGCAAGTGGGCCCTGGGCCTTTAACTGTGTTGTTGGGCTTTTCAAGGTCAATAGTAACTGATTCTTTGAGTAACAGTGTTACTTTGGATACAGATATATCGAGAGCGCAGCAAACTCTATTGATGACTGTGCTGCCATGCGTGGCCATGTTGGATCATGTTCGTCTTAGCAATAACTATAGATCAACTGTTGTAGCCATGTGATACACGAACAGCGAGCAATGCAGCATCTTCCCGAGGCAAGAGAGTTAACTGACTTTAAAAGTCCAGTTTCCACCCTTGCTGAACTAGGCTGGTATTCCTGGGCTCGAACGTAGCGCCACCAGTGGCTATTACCAGTTATGTCCCTTCTAAGCCTCTCCTATGGACCAATCAGATTCCGCCTCTCGTATCACTTGCATTTGCTTCACACAAAATGGTGGCGCCCGGTCAGGACGATCTGATCGATAATCAAGATCTATATTGTGATAAAACGGGTCTTACATCGCGAAATGCATCGAATCAGGTGAGCATCTTGTTTAAAAACATGATTTTTTTTCTAAAACGAGTTGGCGGTGCACATGCTTTGCAAATCCTGCAATCGACCGAAATCTGCACGACAATTTACGAACCGGATTTCGATTTCGGTGCGCGATTTTGATTGGACTATGCATAGACTCGTTAATCCAGCCAAAATGTAACTCCATAATACCAGCCTAGTTCGGCAAGGATGGAAACTAGACTTTTATAGTTAGTTAACTCTCTTGCTTCGGGAAGATGGCAATGCAGACTAGCTGGAACATGTATGAAATACACATGATATAAACCTGGACAATACCGTAAATGTCTGTTTTCACACAAGCTTCTTAAACAACACGATTAAAATCGAACCCTTTTTTATTTTTACGTATTTTTCACATGTTTTTAATCTACTTTTAAACCTCTATTTGAATGATCTTGTCATGTCACCTAACCCTTACTTATATGTTATGTTGTTAACTGTATGAATGGTAAACATTAACGTATAATCTGACAATGTATTTAGAAACCGACTTTAATCAGAATATATGGTTCTAGGGTGTTTGCTCAACCTGTGTGTAAACATTTACTGGGGGATTTAAAAAAAAAATCATACCACAGAATAAATCCGGGTCACTGAATGACTAAAAACCAAACTGAGCTGTGTGTCGGGTCCGTTTTAAGGAAAATGTAAACCAAACGTTGTCATCGTTTGATGTTTGCTCAACATGTGTGTAAACATTTTCTCTGGTATTTTAAAAAAAGATTCATACCACAGAATAAATCCGGGTCACTGAATGACTACAATCCAAACTGAGCTGGGTGTCTGGTCCGTTTTAAGGAAACTGTAAATACTACGTTGATATCGTTTGTTGTTAATATGCGAAAAAAGAAAAAAAAATATAATGTAATTCAGTACTGAAATATGAGAACATACATATAATTAAAATCGGTCACGTTTGTTGTTGACATGCAGACAGTATATTCCCTCCACGAATAGGTTCAAATATCCAACGGATATGCCTGTGGTTGTGGCTTCTTGGGGAGGAGGACAATTGCTTCTTTGACATGAACATGTTGCGTGACTAGAACGTGTTTTTCTGTGTATTCATGACGACCACTTGAAGGTGAAGTCAAGGGAGGGAGCGACGTGTCTACCAGGCAGACATTCAGCAGTGAGTTCTTTTAAACATGCTTTGAATATTGCGTTAAAATAAGATAATACATTTCTAAGTTATATGTATGAAATCAATTATAAGCTTACATGTTCAATGTCGGCGTTTTCACGTAGGTATAGCGTCCGTTCTGGACAAGGAGATAAGTCGAAAGTCAGATCGCAGAAGGCGTCCAATTGCCCAGACATCGCTCTTAAATAGGTCGGGCGGTCGGGTAGCCTAGCGGTTAAAGCATTCGCTTGTCACGCCGAAAACCCGGGTTCGATTCCTGACATGGGTACAAAGTGGAGCTCATTTCTGGTGTCCCCCACCGTGGTATTGCTGGAATATTGCTAAACGCGGCGTAAGACCATACTCACTCACACTTAAATAGGTACAGCCAGCTTTGTAGAAACTGTTACCTCGCGAAGCAGTGGAAATCAACAACTGAAAACAAGCTCATCACAGCGGAACTCTCCACCGGAAGGGTAAGGAAGGCGTCAGGCGGAGCTTGGACAGAAACAACTGAGGGATGTCACTCTAAACTAGATGTGGAGTATCACCATAGGCACCAGAAGACCCAGCATTTTATGAGCATTTCAATACAGTTTTTACAGTAAAACACCGACTTTACTATAAACAATATATCACGTGACTAACCGCGGGTCCGAGTAGTCCAGTTGGTACCCGGGTCCTACTCAGTACCCACCCGACCCGGGTACCCGATTTACCCGTCCCCGCTCTAGTACAATGAATAGATAACCATTTCTATACTATGTGCAGCCAACCATTTATGTACAATGAACAGTCAATCATTTCAATAATATGTACAGTCAATCATTGTTGTACTCTGTACGTTCAATTATTTATGGACGAGGCAATGTCACCGATTTTATGTACTATGTATCAAACTTGTTATATTCATGTAACTCATAGCCAGTCACTCTCTTGGTCACAATCCCCTCTTAAGGACGTATGGTAACGTGCTTACGTCACGACGGGAAGTATATTTGAGGCAGGGTCTTGCTAGATTGCTTCCCCTACCAACTATGCCAAATTACCGAGGCAAGAGAGTTAACTGACTTTAAAAGTCCAGTTTCCACCCTTGCCGAACTAGGCTGGAATTACTGGGCTCGATCGTTGCGCTATTACCAGTTATGTCCCTTCTAAGCCTCCCCTATGGACCAATCAGACTCCACCTCTTGTATCACTTGCGTTTGCTTCACACAAAATGGTGGCGCCCGGTCAGGAGGATCTGATCGATAATCAAGATCTATATTGTGATAAAATGGGTCTTACATCGCGAAATGCATCAAATCACGTGAGCACCTTGATTAAAAACGTGAAAAGATTCAGAAAATATCTGTTGACAACGAGTTGGCGGTGCACATGCTTTTCAAATCTTGCAATCGACTGAAAATCTGCATGACAGTTTACGAACCGGATTTCGATTTCGGTGTGCGATTTTGATTGGACTATGCATAGACTCGTTAGCCCAGCCAAGAAGTAACCCCATTATACCGGCCTAGTTCGGCAAGGGTGGAAACTGGAGTTTTATCAGTGAACTCCCTTGCCTCGGGAAGATGATTTAGTTGAGACTCGACCTGTACTGAACGCGTCAGTGCCATAGTCTAAATAAACAGTTGTAGACCCACAGACGGACTTGTGTTGTTTATACGCATATCTGTTTCCCTTGATCGGTGTGGGTGGGGTAATCTGGCATAATTAGTAGGGGAAGCAATCTAGCAAGACCCCGCCTCTAATACATGTCCAATCCTCGTTTTTACTCGATTCCAAAGCTCCATAAACATCCATTCTCATTCAAATCAGATTTTAGTTTTTGCTACCGCTAAACAAAGATCTGAGGACATCCCATTACGGGTCACGTCACAACGACCTCTCGGGAACTTGAACCGATCAATGAAATGACTGACAAGAAATCGACATTAGCCAATCAGAAGGCAGTTTTTTTTAGCTTTTCGACACTAGTTTCAAACTGGCGACTAGGCTTCGAGACATATTTTGACGTATTCTCGGTTAAAAAATTTAAAACTGATGAAAAGAACATTCTGGAATGGCTTACAGATTACCTAGATTGTATGGATATAATCATAAAACCCGTAACTGTGGTTCGGAATACCCTCTGTTAAATATTTCGAGGTTGCATGATCAGAAAACACATTCCGTCTGTCACTTTCATGATCTGGTAAGCGACGCTCTGATTGGTTGGATGAAAGGTCGTTCTGACGTGACCCGTAATGGGATGTCCTCAGATCTTTGTTTAGCGATAGCGAGAACTAAGATCTGATTTTAATGAGATTCCATAAACATCCGGACATAGGGAAATATATTAGTAGGACCATAAAATGTACCTTTATCCCCGCCGTCAATAATTAACCATAATTCTCATCAAGTCTTTGAAAGGCATTTAGAAGTGATACAAATAAGGAAGAGAATTTTGATATATACTCTGAAACGTTGTGTTCCTCACAATAAAGAAGTTGACATCCATAAATTCTCTTCCTCGTAATTCTCATTATGAAAAGGGTTTTGTCGCTTTTAATTACAAATTCATTATTATTTTATTTATATTTCTCCAGTATCCTGCACCCAAGATGACATCGTCCTTCCAGTCCCCCTTCCAAGAAGACGTCAACATCAGCACCATTGAGATGCACACGGCAGGGGAACCTCTTAGGATCATCACCTCAGGATTTCCGCAACTCAATGGGACAACCATTCTGGACAAGAGGAAGTATCTTAAAGAACACTTTGACCATTACCGTAAACTTCTGATGTTTGAACCAAGAGGTCATTTTGACATGTACGGGGTCCTTCTGGTGGCCCCTGACGTAGACGGCGCAGACATTGGGGCCATCTTCCTGCACAACGAAGGATACAGCACTATGTGTGGACACGCCGTCATTGCGTTGGGGAGATATGCAATTGACCATGGTTTGGTGAAGAACCCCACCAGTCCCGAGACTAGGGTGGGAATACAGTGTCCCTGTGGGTTAGTGGAGGCCTTTGTGGAGTACCAGCCCGGGGGGTCGGGATGTGAGGAGGGGAGGACAGGTGCGGTCAGATTCCAGAGCGTGCCATCGTTCCTATTTGCCTCAGGTAATTGCACTGGGAAATGATGTCACATTCGGATGCGACGTTTCATTTCAATGCTTGGGTACATCTGATACAATCTCAGCAACGGCTTTTGATATTCTTGATAAAAAGTAGTGTAGGGGGTAGCAACTTTTTAAATACATAGTCCCAGATAAAACATTTACACCAAAACATTCGCTGGACATGTTAAAAATTGTTAAAAATATAAACATATTGTTCGGGTCCTCCTTTTATAGACACAATCTGTTTGTCTTAAAAGAGTGACTGAAATAGTGTCCTTTTATTAACAAAAATCCCATTGTTACACACGAAACAGTGAGTGAGTGAGTAATTATTGATTTAACGCCGCATCACCAATCTGGCAGCTATTCGTGGCGACACAAGAAACAAATTCGAAGATGCAGTCCCAACACTTCAGGAATACTGATAAGGTTTGAAGATCAAGTTCAATCGAGAAGCATGTTTCCATTATTAAGATGTACGCGGTATTAATTATTTGCATTCGGAACTGGTCGTTATACGTTATTTTTCGAGATACAGAAATCAGATATGCTGGTCTGAATGCTTCGCTTATTTCTACCGAGAAATGAGAAGTCTCCATGCTGATTTCTTATTGGAAGGCTCACCTTACGCGGTCAGAGTAAAGGGTCAACGTATCTAAAAAGAATCAAATGAAAGAGAAGTACCACAATACCAAATTTGAGAAAGCGATATGAACAACTAAAGGCCTAATGTCGAGAATCGAGCCCGGGTCTTTGGCGTGACGAGCAAACGCGCTATAACCGTACCACTAGGCTACCCGACCGCCCTGATTGTAATGTGATGTGTTTGAATAAAAGAGTAAACACTCGGGTATTTACGATCAAACCATGTCCAGTTTATGTTACTGCACTGCAGAGTAATCGTCCATTGTCAGGTTATAATCAAGGTTTTGTCCCGGGTTTGGGAACTTGATTATACCTAAATAAGAAGAAGAGGAACGATTACAGTCAAGCAGTTTACTGTCAGTGGTGTTGTGTACTGACCAGTGGAGATGCTTGAATTTTCTAGTAATCGCCTCGTACATTTTGACTTTGAGTGATTCCCTAGTCAATGAATTGTGCATTGTCTTCATCTAGTTCTTGACCGACGGACGATATGTCACGAGGTAGTGATGTTGTATTATTACATAATAATAACTTCTACGCCGGCGCGACTACGGCCTCTGGACAATAGAATTCACTCAGCGCGATGGGTTTGATGGATATGTCCATCTTACATCACTGTAGCCTGCTATGTAGCTGTCAGTGTTCAGTGTGACACGTGAACGTCTACAGGATTTAATTGCTTGTTGATATGTTGTAGGTAATGAAACCTTTATGAATATTTTAATTCCATTTATATTTAGCTAATAATTATATCAGAAAACGCTAATATTTACATAACATATTGGAACAATATTGAGTGTATTTTACACTGGTATAAGGTCTCAAAGTTGACGTCCCTGGGTACTGCATGCAGAGTGTGGATGTTAGCTACGGGGGCGCTTTCTACGCCTTCGTCACCGACAGTAACGTCGGCGTTACGTTGAAGTCATCACCAATGCAAGCTGTGGTGAAGGCAGCACACGCCGTATCTGGTATGTGATCGGTTGTTGTTAAGAAGTGTTCGATCCAACGAATTTTCGAGTGAGTGCGTGGCTGCTTGTACTAGTCCGGACAAATTCCGGTTTTTAGTGCTTCGGTACTGAGATAGCATGCAGCAGTTTAACATGCGAAGCGCTAGGCAGAGTAACAACAAGTACCATAGTTTAACGCCTTTCGGTATGAGACGGCCGGGGATCGAACCACCTATCTACCCGATCACGGAGGCGGTTTTTATGGATTATCAACTTCTTTTGACATTAATTTATGTTCTCAACACAGAGGCAGTTAAGTCGACCGTGTCCATCTCCCATCCCGACAGTGACGACCTGGCGTTCCTGTACGGCACCATCATCACTGACGGGAAAGACGCCTTCTCCGACAAGGTCACCGCCAATGTGTGCGTCTTCGCCGACAGACAGGCAAGTGGTGACCAGGTTGACACAGGACCTTAATTTTCGGGTATAGATACAGTTCAATCTCATTAAAATCAGATCTTAGTTCTCGCTGCCGCTAAACAAAGATCTGAGGACATCCCATTACGGGTCACGTCAGACCGACCTTTCGCAAACTCTGACCGACCAATGGAATTACTGACAAGAAGTCGACATTAGCCAATCAGAAGGCAGCTTTCTCGTGCTTTACGGCACTAATTTCAAATTGGCGACTACGCTTCGAAACATATTTTGACAAATTCTCGCTTAAAAATTTAAAATCTGAACAAAAGAACGTTCTAGAATGGCTAATATATGGTCTAGATTGTATAGATTCAGTCGTTAAGCCCGTAACTATCGTTCGGAATACCCCGTTTTAACGTTTTCGAGGCTGCATGATGAGAAATCACATTCCGACTGTCACTTTCATGATCTGGTAAGCGACGCCCTGATTGGTCGGATGAAAGGTTGTTCTGACGTGACCCGTAATGGGATGTCCTCAGATCTTTGTTTAGCGGCAGCGAGAACTAAGATCTGATTTTAATGAGATTAAGATACAGTTGTATCGTAATGAGCTGTAATCAGGCCTGGGGCAGACAAGCCACTGTGATGAAAGTGACGGCCTCTAAGTGAGTGAGTTTAACGTATTTTAGTTATCCCACATGTCAGCTTGATGTGGGAGGACATCTCGCGAAATTAGACGGCATAGCGTCAGATAGAGGAAATACGGTAGTTTGATATCGGATGTTTTGGGCGTTCTAAGCCGCAACACTGACTGCTTCAATGATGACATTAAAAGATTTAACGAAGGCATATCTTTTGCATACAAATGAAATGTTTATGAAAATGTTAGGGATATGTTCTTTGGTGACCAGAATCGGAACAATTTAAGCTATTTCCTCATTGAAACAACCGACAATGAAAGTAAAATATAACATTAATGAAAAAAATGGAAAAAAAATTATTCATGACAACATGTTGTTTTCAAAAGCGCTCGGTTCCAAATTAAAAGAAAGAGGTATCTACTCTACAGTGGGACTACATCAAATTTCAAAACACAGTAGGTTCATCTCCTAATTAAACATGGCACGAAAGAGATGCCTGGTGGTCAACGTTTAGGGGATGAAACACAGAGTATTCGTGTTAAAACTGATGGTATCAAATCGGCAAACGTCCGTGCTAGTACAAGCAGCACACACACAAGAATATACGTCTCACACCACTGGAATAATCTATAACGCGACATTAAACCCCAATTCACCTTACCTATACTATAACATGGACATTCAATAGCTGTAGCGCTAAGGGACGGTGCGGTAGCCTAGCGGTGAAAACGTTGCCGAAGGAGTGGGTTCGATTTTCCACATGGATAAAGAGCAATGTGTGAAGCTTTGTCTGGTTTATCCTGCTATGACACCGGTGTTATATTGATAAAGGCTGCGTCAAACCCTACTCGCTGTAGCGCTTGAATCTCAAATGAGGGGCACGTATGTTTGATACTCCCAGGAGTGCACTAGAAGGAGTACTGGATGAACATGGTCATTGCAAGGAGAAACGTCATGCACTCAGTGAGTTTGTATCTCATTCTTAGTATCAATGAGCTCGTTAAGCATGCAACATCTGATGTACTTTCTCACGTTGATTACAGAGTACCTGAACTTATGGTTGACTGAACATTGATCAATCGTCTCCAGGTGTTCAGTGCACACATTAGGGACATATTGCTGTCTGAAACATCTCTAATAATCGCCTCGAACACAGGACAATCGCATTAATTAAAATCGAATTAGACCACGTTCCGTGTCTCAACTAATATTGGCCACATCAGGCTGCATGTATGTATGTTGAAGAGTGAAATATGCCACTACATGACTGGTCTTTGCCTTTCCCTTGTATTCTTGCCGTTGATACGGTGGGTTTCACCTTGCAGACAGATATGAGTATCATGTACGAAGGTAAATCGGTAAGTCCGTGGCATCATAGGTATTGCTTGGTATAAGGCGGGGTTCGAACACGTGGGAAGAATATCATTTCCAATAGTCAACGTTCCCTTCATGTCCAGCAATATTCCAGCAGCTCCAGCCTTTGGTGTTTACATTCCACAACTTTTGAGGTGTAATCGAGCATGCTCATTCTACCAAGATTTCAAAGAGGGTCATTCAACATTTGCTCGGGTATAGATACAGTTGTATCGTGATGGACTGTAACAGGCCTGGGGGCAGACAGGCTACTGTGATGAAAGTGACGGCCTCTAAGTGAGTGAGTTTAACGTATTTTAGTTATCCCACATGTCAGCTTGATGTGGGAGGACATATCGCGAAATTAATAGACGGCATAGCGTCAGATAGAGGAAATACGGTAGTTTGATATCGGATGTTTTGGGCGTTCTAGGCCGCAACCCTGACTGCTTCAATGGTGACATTAAAAGATTTAACGAAGGCATATCTTTTGCATACAAATGAAAGGTTTATGAAATATCCCAGCAGCTCCAGCATTTGGTGTCTACATTCCACAACATTTGAGGTGCAATCGAGCATGTTCATTCTACCAAGATTTCAAAGAGGGTCATTCGACCTTTGCTCAGAAGTTGTTTGTTCAAGGGTACAACATTCAAGGCCCCGGTATAGCTTTCAAACCGTTTTATGACAGACATGTGGATGACATTTCCAAATTTGACGCGTCCGTGACAAAAATTATGTCCGATGCAATTCCCTATTTTGACTTGCACCATAGGTTCCCGGTCTTTTTTTCAAGTGAACAGTTAACAAGCCTTTGCATGTGTTTGTGACGGGTGCCACCGTTGGGGCAGGATACGCTCCCCTTTTCGCGAACCCCTGGTATCATCACTATTTGATAGTGATTAATAAACACATGCTCATGATGAAGTCGGCATCGTACTATCGACTCTGCTTGTAGCAGATATTTCTATTGGATATGGAAAGGGTTTTGTCTCTTTATTTGAAAAACAAAACACCAAGTTACATACTGATAACTGCATCTGTTTTCGAGAAGTCAACTGGAGAATTGTTATGGTTTAGAGAAACTGCGAAAATGGAGAAAACTGAGACCCGTTTAGTGCCTGCATATACATAGGGCAAACACCAGATAGTTTTGGTATGTAACATGCGACATGTAACCAAGGATGAGACCAGGCTGCACCACCTTGATCCAGACTTGCAACTGCGGAGGAAATAGTGCAAACAGTGCCTCACTAACACAAAGAAGTAGAGGCAGGTTGCAGCAGTTGGCAAAGTTATGGCTTCGGCTTTCTGGGACAGTGAAGGGACAATCATGAGTAGCTATCTGCAGCGAGGTCAGACTACCTATGGGCTGTACTATGCCACAGAAGCTGTCAAGGAAAAACGTCAAGGAAAGCTCCGTTCAGGTGTGCTTCTGATTCAGGACACTGCACCTATGCACACGTCACAAGTGGCAATGGCTGCAGCTGTAGACAGTTGCTGTGGATGTGGATTACTGCCCCGTTCCTTACTCTCCTGACCTACTAGTAATCCAGGACTCGTTGAACCAACTCACAAAACGCGTTTGAGACAAGCAGGCGATGCATAGAATTGCATAGTGTTGATGTACGCAGATCATGACGATTAAATTGACACCGATGACGTTTAACTCACGTGGTAGAGGTTTACCAATAATGGGATGAAGACCTTAATTGGCGAGGAATAACGAAGCTTCAGCATCTATCCCTGACTATATTGACAAATAACAAGTTGGATTCTTGCCCTCGCAAGATTACTGAAAAACAAAGCGAGTTTATAATGTTTTCCATCAAATATTCTTCGGACTTTCACTTTGTCCCCTCCTCGCTAATTCAATGGGTCGTTCCTACCAAATTAGTCTTGGCTGTTCGGGAAATGACATCTAATACCAGAATCATTGAGAGGTGTCTAGCTCGGTCTGTTATTCAATTCCATGTAATTACTTCGTCTCATGTCACTGATGCTATTTCCATATGCCTCTGAGTTGAAACTGTATTTGTTTGGTCCTGACATTAAATATAGTGAGTGAGTGAGTGAGTGTGGTTTTACGCCGCTTTTAGCAATATTCCAGCAATAGCACGGCGGGGGACACCAATATGGGCTTCACACATTGTACCCATGTCGGGAATCGAACCCGGGTCTTGGCCATGACGAGTTAACGCTTTAACCACTAGGTTACCCGAACCGCCCTGACAATGAATACATGTCCGTAATCTACCTGAAATATGACTGATGTATCACACATTTTCTTTCAAATATGCTTTTACAAAATGCTAATTTTACAGTTTACCTAGAGCATATCAATGCAAACTTAAACATGTCCTTCAATACATTTGAAGTTATTCTAAATCATAACTGAAACATTCTAAAAGTGATCCCTTGATCTTCTGTAGAAAACGATTATTGCACTGTGAATGCATTGCGAATTTCTGATATACTGCCCCTATACTAATGTCTTTATACCCAAGATTGGTTTGTCTCTTGAGCCCATATTTTATACCCTATTTCTCCTGTCCTAGGTTGACCGTTCTCCGACTGGGTCAGGGGTCTCAGCCCGTATCGCTCTCCAGTACTTTAAGGGTCACATTGGTCTGGGTCAAAGTCGAACCTTTGAGAGCGGGGCCACGGGTAGTGTCTTCACAGCGAAAGCTGTACAGGAAGTGACCTGTGGGGAGTTCAAGGCCGTTGTGGTGGAAGTTGGTGGCAAAGCTTTCTACACGGGAGGCAACACATTCACCTTGGAGAGGGAGGACACACTAGGACATGGCTTCCTGGTGCAGTAGGACACTATGGTGGGTATAGGAGGGTATTTATGTAGGAGATGGTATGACAAAAATGAAAATATTCTTGATGATGCACTGTTAATATAATAGTCCAAAGATGTGGCCTCTTATGTCAGTAGATGCCATTTCATTCTGGCATCATGGATAAGAGTGGCCTGCTCATTGTAAAGCTGTAAAAAACAGACTGATATCTTGTCTATTTCGCATTTCATTTCATAACAAAGCTGCTGTACATGTTTCAAAGCATAATAACAGAGTCAAAAAAGCTTTCAACCCTTTATTCAAAAGACAATAAAAACAATATCAGACTTGTTAATAATTTGGAGTACCAAACACCACAATACCTATCCATGGTAAACATTGATGGAATGGGAGGCAGAGACAAAACGACTGTGAGGTAAGGAGAGATTCAAGCTCCTGTCCTTGGGATGGATGAGTTGCTGCTCTGCTGGCATTTCTAGCATCGTTGTTGTCGACACAGGTAATAATCGACCTTTCATCAATTGCACATACCATGATAAGATTACAGAATAATAGCTTAAAAGCTAATATATAATAAAAGGATTTATATATTTTCAAAAACATTATCTATCAATATATTAATGGTAAAGACATTCAGCTTCCTTCTTAATATCTCTTTGGGCATCATGCCATTGTAAAGATAAGGTTCCACAGACCTGCATTTCTCAAGAGCTATTTTATTCAATTTAAAACAGTACTCATGCCACAGTGCTGAACCTGCAACAACTGCATCATGGTCAGAACATTCTCATTTTCTACTCCATTGTAAGCAAAGGATATAAGAACAAATCTGGATGAAAATTACATGTGTTCTGGTCTTCTGTGCCGACAACTGCTATTTGAGTCTTAAGGTTTAACTGCCAGACTTACAACCCCCAAAGCAATGACATAGTGTCCATTTAAGAATGCCCTTCCTGTTCTTGGCATTCAGTTTTTGTTAAAGCTAAATATGACTCTAACAGTGACATTCAAAAAGTTGTTAAATTCATTTTAACAAACATAATATGAGATAAATCATGAATATGTTCAGCCCCAACACAAAAACCCTGCAAAATATAACAACGTTATTTATGTAGAGTTTGGCTACTACTGCAGAGATGTTAAGATGATGATATTATCAGTAAATTATTCCACAATCGCATTTTTCTCACAGACAAAAGAATTTTTGTTTGTAATTTACAGATAATCACCAGGTCCATAACTCCCAGAGAAAGATGGGTTGTGATTTATATTATCAATGCTATTACTGACAATACTTAAACTCTACAGAAAGAATCAATAGTCTAACAATCTATGTATTCTGGATAGCTAGAATATATTTCTTCTTGTGCAGAAAACAATTTGAAAAAATTGTGCTCAGTTAGGTATTGTTCATAACAATACATAGTTTTCATTGGTTTGTCATCAATCCACCATTACATTATCACATTAAAGAGCAACAATAACAAAGGTCCCAGTGGGTCTCTCTATGGTATCACATATTTCTACATGACTGCCTTAAGAAGAAAAACAAGTTTGATTTCATCTGCCTACATCTAATCTCAGCAATGCAAGCAGAGAGAAATGCTATACATGATGGCATAAAAACAGAATGCATAAGAAATGTTTCAGATGGTTTCTGTTATAATGCAGTTTCACTTAAAGTAAATAACATCAGTTGATATTTGACAACAAGAAAGAAATACTGGTTTGCCTTATTGCTTAAGACCCATAAGACAAAGACATGTAAAACATACTCGCCAGTGCACTAACCTTTCTAGGCCTATTAAATCTGTCAGAATGTAAACAATTCACTCATGGTTCTTTGTCAAAGTAAATAGTATATTTGCATAGATTGAATTTTTACAATATAATTTATCAAGTTAAAAGTGAGAAATTAAATTTTGATTCAAGCGAATTAATGTGTACATATCTAAAGTGCTGTGTGGACACACCAGTTGAGTTTGTGAACATAATGACGGTTCAATGAAAACAGGTGAGGTTTCACTTTACTTCATACAGCTAAAGTTTGTTAAACAATTTAATTGAAAAAAATAAGTGAATTGTGTGTACCCCAACTGGTATTGTGCAAGTAGAAGGTGACAAAGTGAAAATAGTGGAATTTCTGTTTCAAAGTTTACAATTACAATAATTTACTTAAGTAGATTCTGTTAATACTGAGGCACAACAAGATACTTTTCTATCAAGTTTTACTGAAGCTGAATCACATAACTAAATAACAAGTAAGTTGCATCTATTCAGATGAAAACTCTTTTTGACAATATTTCCTTTAACATCTGTTAAATGGAATAAGTATTAAAACTTTACCCTGAACATCTCACATAAATTTATCAAATGAACAGCTGAAAAATGGTTCATAATATCCTTATGGTATCTTATATCCCAATTTATTTTGCAATTTGTGAGCGTAATCCATGATCCCTACAACATAATCCACCAGACGATACTCACAAATTATGTTACATATGTACAAAAACAATTTCACTGTAAAGGACTCAAAGACAAAGTAGACTTAAAGTGCACAAATTCACATTGTTGCATTTGAATACATAACAAGTGTTCATAACAATCGTTTCTGAGACAGAAATATTCACTATGGGTGGTCTATGTAACATATGTACAATTGAGGCGTAAAATGCATACAAAATTCCATCTAAGAAAGTTTTCTTGTCATTCTAAGGCCACATTAAATAAATTTCTTGAAGATGTAAGGAGAGGAATAAGTACAAAACCTCTTAAGAAAATCTTTTTTTTCGCTTTCATGTTTGCTGAAATACACTGAAATGATATTTCAGTATCCTATGATTACTGCAACTGTTTATTTTGTCATGAAAGTTCATAATACTGGAGAAGAATAAAGCAAGATCATAAAATCTTCTTCATGTTTGGTAAAAACGTTTTTGTCTGAAGAACAAGTAATTGATCTGATGTGGCCTTAGCTGTATTTCTTCACGTGATCAATACCTGGCCCCCTCCTAAACTATAGTCCCTACCATAACATGTAATTAAATGTAAAGGTATGGAATATCCTCTGAGTCATGTAGTCTAACAGAAAAAATACAATAAATATCTTTTGTTCTTTTCTTCCTTTCCATTTGACTTTTTCTGTTATCCCACTTCCTTCCCCAGAATCAAATCAAACATTTGACAGATTAAAGACCTTGTACATGTAAGTGAATTGAGATCATTGACAAATGGATTCGAATCACTATATGAATAACAAATACAGAATGTTTACATAGATACAATGATTCATAAACCCATAACTTATGTTCAGAGTAAGAGTGAGTGAATTAAGATTTAACATCACATTGGCAATATTTCAGCCATATCGTGACGAGTTCAGAGTAAGAAGCACATAGACTATGTATAATTGTATGTAGAGAGAAGAAACTAATCCTACTTATCTTACTTCTTGAATATTTACAAAGTTTTAAATCCATAATAAAGTATACCATTCCGAAGTGAATCCATTCAAAAGCAATGTGTAATCAGGCTAATTATGTCAATAGATCAACAAATCTGTATAGTACTTCGTAACCTTGGTACATGGTTTCAGAAATGTATAATTCAACAATTTTTCAAAATCTATGTCAGATTAAAAGTTTTTCACAAACAGATTATGATGGTGAAGAGAGACACTTTAAGGGGAGTTCATTCTGGGCAAGAATACACACATTGATTTCAGGAGAAAAAGATATTTTATTCGATCTGAAACATTCCAACATTTACTTGCTCCCTGGAAACTAAGATTTGATAGCTATATAACCTATAGCACTATCTCCTCATGTTCCATTGCAAATACCAAGTGGTAATTATAGAAATACTGAAAATAGACCAGCAAATTCTGCAAGAGGGAAAACTATAACCCTGGGGTGGATAAATCCTAACAAATGCATGCTAAGTTGAGAACACTGTACATTCTCATGAAAATACTTTGACAAACGGAACAATCCCAACAAAAATCTAATTGTAATAAGCTTCAGTGGACTGCCATGAATACTTAAGATCCCTGTAGTGTTAAATCAAAAACATAAAAAAGTGAAAATATCAGAAAGATATCATGAAAATAGGAGACAAACAAAAATTACGAAAAATATTTTGAGAAATAAAATTGAAACATCAAACTGAGCTTTATTGTCGTGAAAAGGTAGCCCTTCATTTATATGTAGTAAAGGGATAAAAGGGCTGACAACTCCCCAAGCATGTTTCTGAGGAGATGGCATGATCTAAGGGGAAATAACTACGTATCATCCATGGTTACTGAGGTAGGGAATGTGCACAGGGAGCTACTGCAAACAATCGAAATGGTTGGAAACTAAACTAGATTATTTCATAAATGTAATGAATGAATTAAACAGAATTGAGAGCTGTGAAGCTTCATAAAAACGATCTGTAAAAATTAAAACAATGGACTTAAATGATACATTTGCAGAGTTACGGGCAAACAAGATAAACAGTAAGTGGTGTGGGTTTGTACCGATACCACCGATCAAGTGAAACTTATTTACAACTATAAACATCACAGTCTTTTGTGTGGAGCTCAGTGCTTTCTCAGCACTTGAAAATTCAGGCCTCACGATACTTCGTATGTGAGTAGCCAAACAAGGTAGGTAGAAGTGATAATTAAACATTCTCAGGCAATCCAACAATTTCAAACAAACTATGGGGAAAATAACAATGTTTGGACAAATCACATCCTACAATCAAATTGGAAAGATTCATACAATAACATTAAATGGGTTAAAAATCATAAAATGATGTATTTTTATCATGTTTCTGTACATTCGTCTAAAACGTGAGAATTGTGAAAAAAAATGATGTCCTTTCATGTGTTCTTTCATGGGCAACGTGTTTGAATATGGACAATTATACAACTTCAAAATGGGATATGAGCTTGGAATTAATAATGGACGTGAAATAATGTGATCTTAAGTTGGAAGGACTAAATTCTCTTTTTGTACATTTTACATTTTATATTAAAATGGGAACTAGTACAGGCATGGTACCACTCATAAATATCACTGTCAATATGGGGTAAATAGACAAATAGTTGTATAAATACTTGGAAACAAAAGTAAAAAATATGCTTCACATATAAATAGAAACTAAAATTGGATAGGATTGCACTCATTGGGGTACCACAATGTCTATATCACTTGGTGTACTGCAACCAGTAGGTGGGTATCTCACTTGACACTCCTCTACCACCTGTAAACTATGGTCAAGAGCAGTAATGGCAGTGACACATCAAACAGGGAACAGTTGTCTTTCAGTCATAAAAGTCACATGGTGTCAATATGTTGGCCATTTTCCAGCGCTGGGGTAGTGTAAAGGGAGATAACCCACCTAACTGGATCATGATCATCATAATGGGACTCTAGAATAATGCAAAACCACATTGTTGCAAATGGCATACTGTACATAAATATAGATCTATCTACTGCTCTGAAACCATTTGTTCTTTCAGAATCACCACTCAGCCTTGTTAGCACAAAGGAACTGTTCTTTCGGCCTGACATGGAAACATTTGTATGCCATTCTTGACCCACACACTCTTAATTCCTGACATGTTGCCCTCTTCCCTGATACCACGTTGGCACCATCAGTCAGTTACCTCGCTGATGTCAAATGTGCAATCAATTGATGATCTTCAGATTAGCTTCTCCTCTTTCCCTTCTTGATGCAAGAGAAGGCAAGGATTCGTGTTCCACTTTGAGAGGAAAACACTCCACTTTCACATACGAATCACTGAAGACATTAACACTTTCCTGGGATGTTCGACATGATCATGCTGTGCTGCCACCAATACAGTTTTCAGACCTGTCAACTCAAATTTTTTATGCAGGAATGAAAAAGAATTCCTTGTTTCTAACAGAACAATTCACAGCTTCATTCATTCATCTTTTACCATATATACTTTGGTCTCTTAAGTCCTTGAGAAACTGAAACCACCTCTGAACCTAAAATCTTTCATTTTCCGAACTCCATGAACTCTGAACTCCGTGATCTCCATAGACTGATTGACAGGCCTTGTTCTTTGAGATCATGTGAATCTTGGACAGCCAACCTTTTGACAGCACTCACCAGTCACATGAAATAAAGTCAGTCGCTTGGCTCAGCCACCATGTTAGGGGCAAGGAGTTTGTAAGGACATTTGGACTTGTATGGGACTTAAAATGTAGGGATGTAGCAGTAGGCAACAAAAGATGATATAAGAAGATAGATCAGCCATAGACATACAAGAAAGATCGCTGTTGAATATTTGTATTTCGTTGGGCCACCAAGTTCACCTCCAACGAATGGTTGTCTTCTCACAACCAGGATAGCTATAGCAACAACTGCAAGACAGCAGAACACGGTGACTGACACTGCAAGGGAGCCTGGATCTACTGTGAATTTTTCTCCTTTTATTGCCCAGTAAACAGCTGCTATTGTCCATGCAATTCCGATACCAAGAAAAACATTCACAGCATTACTTCCAGTCACGTTACCCACGGAGGAATCAGCATACTTGTCATTGACAGCTGCAACTTTGCTAGCAAATGTATCTGGAATATGGAATGCATTATTAGCTTTCTCATAGAAACATAGTAATAATCGAATGGTATACCACACGAGGAGCTATTTTCATAATTTCTTGAGGAATCATCATATATATTTGAAATCTGATTTGATAAATAATGTCATACACAATCAAAATTACACTTCATGAAGTTAATCCTTCACCAAGGATAGAAATTAAGCTTAAAATCTAGAACAGTCAATCAATCGGTAATCAATCAATATTGAAAAAGTAATTCTATTACATAATGCTTCAATACATTTAGATGGCCTCCATGGTCTACTTGACTGCGTGCCTTCCCAGACAGCAGCAGATCGGTAGTTCAATCCCCGACAGAATTATGCCAAAAGATGTGAAAAGATAGTGCTTGTTGTTACCGTAATTGGTCTGATTGGGGTATCAATGATAAACTGTGCCAGCACTATAAAAACAGTAATAGTCAAGCACGCACACACCTGCACGCCCGCGCAACAATAAGCAACAATAAACCCCATTTCACCTCACCTTTGAAACATTTGTCTTTGAAACTTGATGACTTTATGACATCCATACTAACCAAAATAAAAGTCGGATCTATGTCTCTACAAAATGTCAGCCTGATACATCACCTGATATGACAGTGCAGCTCACCTAAGTTTGACATATTTTGTATAATAATTTCCCTTACATTATAAGCAATCAGTTCAGTTAATCATGGAACTATAGGAATATTCATATTACAGGTCGGTAATATACAGCAAATGTTCAATAATTTGAAATAATAATAGAAAATTAAAAATCTGGGATAATACGTGAACATTATAGTTTTTCTTGCCATGTGTCATAACTCATCAAATTCAATTATTATATATGGTGTACGAAGCGAACAGATCTCTTACCTGGTACACTAGTGCCAAGAGCTACGAATGAGATTGCAGTCACCGAGTCCTTGAGACCAACAGTGCAGCCAAAACTAGAGGCCAAATCTCCAATGAGGGCTGTCAGGAAACCAATGACACTGATGGACACAAGGAAACAAGCCCAGCCGCCCCAGTAGTCTGTAACACAACAGCAATGTACACATTAGTAAAGTCAAATACAAAATGATAGGAAAGTGGGTTTCTTAATAAGTGGAGATTCCTGAGCATATAACATCCTGAACACTGCAGTCCAAATAACATGCCCAAAGATTTGGTTGGTTGGTTTGTTGTTTAACGCCGCACTCAGCAATATTCCAGCTATATGACAGCGGTCTGTAAATAATCTAGTCTGGACCAGACAATCCAGTGATTGATATCATGAGCATCGATCCACGCAATTGGGATCGAAGACATGCATCAACCAAGTCAGCGTACCTGACAACCCGATCCCATTGGTCGCCTTTTACAACAAGCATAGTCGCCTTTTATGGCAAGCATGGGCTGCTGAAGACCTATTCTACCCCGGCACCTACATGACACTTGACTAAAGAAGGGATGGCTGGCCACAGTAAAATTCAATAAAACTTTCTGTATGATCCATGGTCAAACTACTTGACACTGTTTGCTTGATCCAACCCCAACTACTTTGCAGTTAGATACGGTGGTTAATGGAGTACAGTCAATAACTCACACAATAATTATGCTCAAACAGATCTGAAGTAAGTTTGCAGAATCTTCCATATGGTGTTGATGGCTTCTAAACCTTGGACATTCCAAGCCACAACATATTGCCCAAAGTATGTCCAAATCACTATCACTATTTTGTTAATATCGAGATCTTATGATGCGATGACAAATTTATTCATCTTCAAACTCACCTCTAAACAAAAAGCCTCTCTATCAATTTTCACATGACAAATTAAGCTTTTTACCCTGTTCTGTAAATGACAGAGTGTGTTTAGCTATATAGCATACCTTTATGGACATGCCAAAGATATAACTATTAAGCAAACCTATTTTCCTCCCAGCACATAGAGGAATATATGCACTACCATGTACAAAGGAACTTTTGTATTACATTGTATACGATTATCTCCAGTACCTGCATACCGCCCAAGGTCAAAAGTTCTAATGATCAATACTAAGTCACTAAGTGCTGATAAGGTAAGTCAAACGAGACAAATATAGCCAATATTTTCGAAATTATTAAACTCTCAGTTGTCAAGGCGTGGTCTTCCTTGTGACAGAGGAACTTCTGTTTACTATATATTTAGCTATATAATGACTCATTATCTGATCTATGAAGTAGCCATTAGTTTCATGGAGGTCCATTACCAGATTTATATAAAGGTTGGGTTGGGCTGATGATGTATTCAGTTCCTGCAGTTAAGCTAACATAAGATATGTTCCTATGATTATTCTATATTTGCACAGGCTGATCAATGAGCATGTTGTACTGGAGCACAAGTGGATAAATGTCATCAGCAGAAACACGATGTCATACCATGACATTTGGTAGTCATAGATCATTGGGGAGCATTGATATTCTATGCATGCTCCATAAACCATTTCAAATACTTGGTTTCATCAACATTGCACAAAGAATACACCTTAAACATTAATTGTAAATCATGAAATTAATGCGTCTCAAAAAGAACGTGACTGCTGGTCTCTAGCCAAAAATGCAACTCAATATGAATGCGACACCCCCCTCCGCTCAAGCGTCAGTGGATTTATATCTAAAGAAAATGTCCTCTGTCAGGTTTACAGGAGAATCCTCACCTTAATCCAACCTTACATTAATCCAATCACACACCAAATAGCGCCGCTTATTAGCGCTGAGTAGAGTACTTCCGCTAGAAAAATACATAGTATTTTCCTAAGAACAGATACTTTTTGTGTTTATTCTGTTGACTGGCATTAAGGAAGTTCAAAGAAAGAAAGTGCGGAGAAAGTGTCAACAAACTTGAAGGCGGGTGACAAAACAAAGGCTGTCAATCTAAAAATTAGTGTGATGAAGCCTATCCATGCGTGCTGGCTCGTGTTGGCCTTTGACGCAGTTGCAAAGAACAAAGACACCGTGTTGCGTGGGTGGCTTCTGTCTGGATTTGCAGGGGTGATCAATGATGACATAAAAATGTCTTATTCTTGGTATAAATGCGATGTGATGTTTAATAATGCGAGCAAAGACCACTTGCATTTTTCGCATTTAATTCACGATCGCGTTAATTTCAAGATTTACAGTATTATGCAAAATGATATGATATGACATATACAATTAGAGCAGATATACTGTCACATATAAGAAAAATGAAACATTGCTACAGTATATAAGTATAAGATACACTGTTCCAGTTAATAAGTAGAAGACACACTGTTACAGGATATTGTTTGTTTGTTTGTTTGTTGTTTAATGTTAAACTCAGCAATATTCCAGCTATATGTAGGCAACCAATAAATAATCAAATCTGGACCATATATTACTCAGCAATTGATATTGTGACACACTTACAGACACACTGTGACACAGTTGTACCTCCAGACGCTGTGACACAGTTGTACCCCAAGACACACTGTGACAAAGTTGTAACTCCAGACACTGTGACACAGTTGTACCTCCAGACGCTGTGACACAGTTGTACCCCCAGACACACTGTGACAAAGTTGTAACTCCAGACACTATGACATAGTTGTACCTCCAGACACACTGTGACACAGTTGTACCCCCAGACACACTGTGACATAGTTGTACCCCCAAACACTGTGACACAGTTGTACCTCCAGACACACTGTGACACAGTTGTACCTCCAGACACACTGTGACATAGATGTACCTCCAGACACTGTGACATAGTTGTACCTCCAGACACACTGTGACACAGTTGTACCTCCAGACACTGTGACATAGTTTGACTCCAGACACACTGTGACACAGTTGTACCTCCAGACACTGTGCCATAGTTGTACCTCCAGACACTGTGACACAGTTGTACCTCCAGACACACTGTGACATAGTTGTACCTCCAGACACATCAACACAGTTGTACCTCCAGACACACTGTGACACACTTGTACCTCCAGACACACTGTGGTACCGCCTGACACACTGACACAGTTGTACCTCCAGACACACTGTGACACAGTTGTACCTCCAGACACTGTGACACAGTTGTACCTCCAGACACACTGTGACACAGTTGTACCTCCAGACACTGTGACATAGTTGTACATCCAGACACTGTGACATAGTTGTACATCCAGACACTGTGACATAATTGTACCTCCAGACACTGTGACACAGTTGTACCTCCAGACACACTGTGACATAGTTGTACCTCCAGACACATCAACACAGTTGTACCTCCAGACACACTGTGACACACTTGTACCTCCAGACACACTGTGGTACCCCAGACACACTGTGACACAGTTGTACCTCCAGACACTGTGACATAATTGTACCTCCAGACACTGTGACACAGTTGTACCTCCAGACACACTGTGACACAGTTGTACCCCCAGACACTGTGACACAGTTGTACCTCCAGACACTGTGACACAGTTGTACCCCCAGACACTGTGACACAGTTGTACCTCCAGACACTGTGACACAGTTGTACCTCCAGACACTGTGACACAGTTGTACCTCCAGACACACTGTGGTACCGCCTGACACACTGACACAGTTGTACCTCCAGACACACTGTGACACAGTTGTACCTCCAGACACACTGTGACACAGTTGTACCTCCAGACACTGTGACATAGTTGTACCTCCAGACACTGTGACATAGTTGTACATCCAGACACTGTGACATAGTTGTACATCCAGACACTGTGACATAGTTGTACCTCCAGACACTGTGACATAGTTGTACCTCCAGACACTGTGACATAGTTGTACATCCAGACACTGTGACATAGTTGTACCTCCAGACACACTGTGACATAGATGTACCTCCAGACACACTGTGACAAAGTTGTACCTCCAGACACTGTGACATAGTTTGACTCCAGACACTGTGACACAGTTGTACCTCCAGACACTGTGACACAGTTGTATCCCCAGACACACTGTGACACAGTTGTACCTCCAGACACTGTGACATAATTGTACCTCCAGACACATTGTGACATAGATGTACCCCCAGACACTGTGACATAGTTGTATCAGAGACACTGTGACACAGTTGTACCTCCAGAGACACGTTTGACCTACAGAAGTTGTACCAGACACGTTTGACCTACAGAAGTTGTTCCAGACATGTTTGACCTACAGAAGTTGTACCAGAGACACGTTTGACCTACAGAAGTTGTTCCAGACATGTTTGACCTACAGAAGTTGTACCAGAGACACGTTTGACCTACAGAAGTTGTACCAGAGACATGTTTGACCTACAGAAGTTGTTCCAGACATGTTTGACCTACAGAAGTTGTACCAGAGACACGTTTGACCTACAGAAGTTGTACCAGAGACCCGTTTGACCTACAGAAGTTGTACCAGAGACCCGTTTGACCTACAGAAGTTGTACCAGAGACATGTTTGACCTACAGAAGTTGTTCCAGACATGTTTGACCTACAGAAGTTGTACCAGAGACCCGTTTGACCTACAGAACTTGTACCAGAGACCCGTTTGACCTACAGAACTTGTACCAGAGACCCGTTTGACCTACAGAAGTTGTACCAGACATGTTTGACCTACAGAAGTTGTACCAGACATGTTTGACCTACCAGTGGGTGGCACACAGGCAAACAGGACCTTCCAGAAGAGGGTGAGGAAGTGCATGACGTAGTCCATGCAGCTCGGCAGCTTCTCTTCAGCATCTTCATCGGACTCATCTTCATCACCTGATGACACAACAGACATATATGTCAAAGACATGCACATCAGCCTACAGTGTTGGTTCGGTAAGTGCCAGGTTAAATATTATAGATGTAATGAACGTTGATAAATACAATAACTTTGCTGGTTTCAGCTGCAGAGGGTCTCTTCCTGCAATTGTCATGTTTAGTTCTCATGGGTACATTTGTAAAGCAGAGCTGTACCTGTAGGGTGTATTCACAGGAGTTATTAAATACATGTGCTCATTTTTCACCTTACAACAATAGAACATCAAAAAAGAGTACAGTCTTAAGTAAGTAAGTCTTGTGTGGTTCCATCAATTTATAGAAGGAACTGTGCAATTTCTTTAAAGGAAAATACTTCAAAACATATCATGTCACTTTCTTCAGAGTAAAAAAAAATCTATGTCAAATCAATGTCATAAATATGGATAAGTCTCACAATATATGCAGTATATGCCATTGATAATACGTATAAGTCCCACAATATATGCAGTATGTTATTGACAATATGTGTAAGTCCCACAATATATGCAATATATGTCATTGATAATATGTATAAGGTTGCTTCAAAGTTAGCAAATTTATATTTAAAAAAAAAGAACATATTGAAAGAGTCCATCACGTCCAGAGCAACTTGAGAAACTGATAGCATTTAATACACCGTATGTATATTTTATAGTTTATCATTTGTTCAGGGGAAAATGTGTATTGTATTTGAGTCTCAAATTGTCATTTTGTTTTCTATAATCAAATTTCTCAAGTTTCACTGCAACATGGTTGATATCAGTGCATAAACCATGTTCATTAGAATTTCAGGATGGGGTTTTACTGCTCTACAGAACTGACATAAAAAGTATCAAACTGACAGTAAACATATAAAAAACCACAGAGAATAAGATAGAATAAGACTGTGGAGATTGGTGGAGAGTAAGAAGCGTCTGTCATGAAGTGATACAAACAGTGTACATGTTAGAGAGAGGAGAGACAGAGAGAGGAGAGAGAGAAAGGAGAGAGAGAGAGAGAGAGAAAAGGAGAGAGGAGAGAGAGAGAAGAGAGAGAGGAAAGAGAGAGAGGAGAGAAAGATAGAGAGAGAGAGAGGAAAGAGAGAGAGGAGAGAGGAAAGAGAGAGAAAAGGAGAGAGAGATAGAGAGAGGAGAGGAAAGAGAGAGAGGAAAGAGAGGAAAGAGAGAGAGAAAAGGAGAGAGGAGAGAGGAAAGAGAGAGAGGAGAGAGAGAGGAAAAAGAGAGGAGAGAAAAAAGGAAATGAGAAGAGAGGGGAGAGAGAGGAAAGAGAGGAGAGAAAGAGAGAGAGAAAAGGAGAGAGAGAAAAGGAGAGAGAGAAAAGGAGAGATAGAGAAAGAAGGAAAGAGACACAGAAAGAGAGTGTGAAGCTTCTGTCATGAAGTGAGATATAAACAGTGCACATCAACTACTTCTTAGAGAAAGAAGCATTGACTACATGTCACACTTGCGATATTTGGAGTATTTCTATAATATTAATAGGTTTCTAGAACTAAATCAATATACTCCTCAGCTACATATATCCAAAACAACAAACAGAAATAGAGAAACTTGAATCAGGGTTGTATCCAATGAAAATATAAAAACTGCAACCAAATATTTCTGCATCTAAATGGTTTGGTGAACTTGTCACTGCTTCAGGACTTACCAAGCTGTCCTACTAAGAGATAGGAGCGCACCCGTAAGGAATGGAGAGAGAAAAACAGGCACACATTTAGTCAGTTTATATACAATTTCTTTAGCACTTCAATAATTAATAATGCTTTGTGAATGGGTAATAGATCACTTTAAAAAAGTCTTGTCTTCAAGCGTTCCTGTAAAAGGTATTCAAGTGACAGAAGATGGTATCTCTGCAGCGGGTAAAATGTAACCAAAATTATCACATAACCTTCACATTAGAATTATCACAGATATTCTTACTTCATCGTTTATATGGTGCGGAAGGAAATGCTCTGGCTGCATGGGCCATGCAAGTGAAAATGTACAGAAAAGATAATTTTGAGTGATTTATTGCTTTCAGCATCCTCTGTGACAAACAAATTTGAGTGATAAATATTTCTCAGCATCCACTGTGACAACATTCAACACCAACATGAAACTACAGTGGTTATATATGTGTACAGCAGACACACTGCCTACTAGCTCTCTATCGATAGATGAAATACCTTACAATACAATACAGCCTTGTTTGGTTATATTAGATCAGCTAGTCGGCAGGAATTTCAAAGCTTACTCTTGGACACTGACAATACACTGATGACATCAATAAAGTGCTTCCTTTTCTTAAACTGATGCCCCATTTAACCATATGAGCATAGCCACAGCCCTATCAACATAACAGGTAACTACGCTGTGAAACTTGCATTAATTCATCAGAGAGTTACTTTCAGGTAAGGTCAATCCACGAATTGATGGGATTAAAATCAATACGGAGAACCCCCGGTCTCCCTAGGGTATGGTAATAACTTAACCAGTTGTATGGCAAAATGCACTTCATCTTATTGTGACATGTTTGCACATTTATGGAGATACTACTTGCCCCATACTAGTCCTGATTAAGCCTTGAATTGGATGTTCTTATCGAATTCACCGTGCTGATGAACTGGCCTGTAATGTGTAGCATGTGAGATCAAATCATTACTGACAATACATTGGTTCACATGAAGACTACATAGTTTTAAACAAACATCTTCAGTGAGTGGTTAGGAAAGGAGTCCCTGTTCAATAATAATCTCCATTAAAACTTGTGTCATGAATTTCCCATTTGATGTAACAAATTCATAATATTATACATATCACTGCAGAATGAACAAAACTAAAGAGTGTATGTTTATAAGGGTGTATAACAAAAGATGTGTGTAGAACTGTTTCAACTGGCAGATACAACATCCAGGGAAGTCACAATGCCACAACTAACTACACATTTATGCTAGTGGCATGCTTTGCCTTCTCCCTAGGGATGAAATATTGTACTGAGGGGTAGCTTGCATGTCAGAATTATGCAAAGTCTTCACATAATGCCGATAACTGATATCAGAGTCATACAGTAATAAAGGTATCATGTTCTGTAGCTCACCTTCTCATTGCACAATTTGATTCCATGTTCTCTAGGTAAGGTTGCCATGAGCCAATATTTTCATGTTTGAATGCATATGATTAAGCTTCAGACAGAGACTGCAATATCGTCCAACCAGCAGTACTTCCCCTATAATATCTCTCATCCCAAGGGTAAGAAGCAGTGCACTGGGTATAGCAGGTCCCTACATGCACTTTCCAAATAACATAACTCCTACCAAAATGCATTAATGATTGAAACACTTAAAGCATCAGGAACGGAATTTCAGAAGAATTACATTTGCCATAATATAATTTTCTCGACAGAATATGGCAGTTAGAGGAAAAGGAATTGGTTAGATGATATCAAAGGACTTTAGAATAGCTTTACTGACAGAGGTTGAATCATTCTGTTCATGTGCTCCAATATAAACCAAACGTTTATTGATGTTCTACCATGTGATTCATTGATGGGTTGCTATTCTGGAGCAGTCACAAACTGCCCACAAATAGCTTGTGTCAAAGTTACCAATGTAGCCTAAATATAACATGAGAAATTCCCATGAAAGCCATTAATTTTGACATTTGAATCAGAGCACATGATAAATGTCAGTAGTAATTAGAGGGACCTAATGAAAATAAATAGGCCGCCCATGATTCAGTAATGTTAATAACACCATAGCTGTTAGTAAAGAAATGATCACATTAACGTACCAAATAGCAAAACATGTTTGAACTTCTTTTATGCAATATGCACTTTGATGAAATATATCTCTACCTACCCATGTGTCGACTTACCAGTCTCATATTCTGAATCCATACCTAATAAGAAAGTGCTGTGTCAGCAATCCTTACAGCGCAATAGTGTTCTACATACTACATCTAATTCTAATGTGCTTCTGTGTAGGTGATAGCTATTGAAACTTGATCATAACTTCTATGGGTTTCCACTGTCTCAATTGCTTACACAATTCCTAGTCTCGGTGAGAACTATATGCTGTGATGAACAGAAACATGCAGTGATAATTCACAAGGGTAAATGTGAGGTGTTGAGGACTGACATGTCTTAAAATGGAAAGCGATTTGGGTGTGTTTGGATCAAAATAAGAGGGTCATATTGCAATAAGGATTAAAATGAATATAGTTGAGTCTGGGGATTAAACAAAATCTTTCAGCACACAGACACAATAGGGCATTGGGGCTTATGGTTTGTGAGGATTGGATGTATCAAATGTGCTCTGTTGCCAAACAAAGCACAACAGAGCTCTAACACATCTGTAAAGAAGGTGTTTACAGCAATACACACAATACTTGTATATTGCTATGCTGACAGCTGTGAATATGTCATAAGCACATAGTTTCATATATATTCACATAATGACATGACAGGGACAATACCGAATTTGTGTGATATATGTATATTCTACATAATTCCTCTATCTACCTACATCTATGTACAGCTCCGACACTGACAGTTTCTGGTACAAAGTCCAGTATATACACTTATATATGAATACATAATACACACATCGCAGTGACTTGGCAGCATACCCACCTTTACACATCTCGGTTTTCGCTTTCTTTTCTGTTCAAACCAAAATTGTTCAGAAATGCACTTGCTCCTATCTAATACTACAATGCAATATGAACTTCTTCAAATATTCACCTCTTCTGATAAGAATAATTATTGTTACATACAGGACATATTTTTCACATAAAACTAGAAAACTGTCTTTTTTAATCAATTGGTTGACCTGGCAACATGGAGCAGTTGACAAAATCAAACAATTTGTGACATTATTTTTCTCAAACGATCTTACTATACACATCAACTCTATTTGTTGGCTGAGAAAATTGAAAAACTGCTGAAATTTGCTTTTACAACTACCAGCATCTATTCAAACAGTTGAACCTGCAGTCGAATGTCCCTGACCCTGAACCAACATCCATCCCATGGTAGTTGTGGAACTTGTCACTCCACATTACAGGGAAACACACTAATAGATTTCGGGAAAATAGTGAATTATCATTTATAGTAGTGTTATTGACAGGTTCCAAGTACACAGTGCAAGCTGTCTAATATTAGTCCTTGTGCCCTGCCACCAGTTAGTAGTAGTACCTTTTATACATATGCACACGGAAACCTAGAAAGTCCATACAATGCGTATTTCTTAGATAAAAGACTTTACCCCTGCAAGCTTCTGTAAATGATAATAGGATTAAGTGTTAATAAAACTTCTCTTCAATGTCCCTCTATTATATATTACTCTATATAAAAAACAAACAAGGTTGATTATTCATTTGAAAAAGGAATAATTCATATGACAGCTGTTTGGTATGAAAATTAAACACTGATCAAATACATGAAGAACAGGTGTAACTGTTGCTGTTCAAGCTGCCTTGAGAGTAGGAATGGTGAAAAATGGTTGGTGTTTTGTAACTTCTATCTACACCATCAGAGTATTTCTGCCACACCTCTAGGATCTGAAAGTGTTGATAGTCAACTCTGAACCATTAAACATCATACATTAGGCCAATATGAATTAACATGTAGATTATCGTCCGTTCAAAACCTCCATTAGTTTCTTTGCAATTTAGCTCTATCACAGAAATGTTTTAAGTATGTGTATCCAAATGACCATGGCCTTGCTTTGAAAGATTCAAAAAAGAAAGAGCAACATCTCTCCCTAATTAACTTTCTCGACAAAGGAGGATAATCTGTTAATTAATCCATAATGGTCAGAAGAATTTGGAATAAGTTATAGCTTGGCTCTGCAATCAAATTGGTACTTTCAATTGAAAAGATACATTTTTCATTACAGATAGTGTATTTAAGAAAAAGCAAGTATGATAATCATATTTGTTTGCTTGAGGGCTTGGTTCCAAGGCATACAGATACAAGAGTGATTAAGCTATGCGGTACTAACCAGCGCTGACAGTGATGGCTTCTGAGAACTGCTCCCTCCAGGACGATGTTCCAACAACCAGGGATACATTGGCCTTCTTCAGCAGCTTGTCCACAACACTCTGGAAGGCAACAGACAAGTATTAGTGCGTGAGTTAAGTTCAACCCTCTTGAACAGTATTTCAGACATAAAACTATCAGTATAATTTTGGAGGAAAGCCAAAGTGACCTAGGCCATAAGTGATCACCATTCTAGTACTGACAGGCCAAGAATCACAATCACTGTGAATCTAGGATTCAAACCTCAAATCATCAGATTCTGGCATGGAAAAGGGATGCAACTATGCACAGGAACTGCAGAACCTAGGACCACTGTGCCAACCATGCCCTACATTAATACATAACAATTAACAAGTGTGTTTGGTAACGATTTGTATTAACAAACACAGACATTGCATTATATTTGGACATTCATACTTTTTTCACTAGATTGTATTCTTGAAATGACAAAAACACTGATGGACTACTTCCACATTTTTGGGGAAATCCCTGGTAATTTCGTAGAATGCATAATACAAAATTGTTTCTTAACATTTAGACACTTTAGACTAGAACTCAGCATTTTTGCGAATATTGGGAATAGTCAGAGAGTGTTACCACATGCCTGTGCACGAATATCCTCACTACAACCCATCCTTGTAAACAAAACAAAGAAATGCACAACCAAACTATCAACTCGACTCATGCTTAGACTGACAATGACAGTTCTCCACAGTCTCTGAATTTACTTCAATCTTCATTTGAAACATATCATAATCACCATTCAATGATCGGCCAATTGATCCATGATGACTAACACTTGTAATCACCACAGGTTTCTTAACAACTTCAGCAATTTCTCCTGTCATGTAGATCATGTTGGCCATTTTGACTTCCTATACTTGATATAAATGTATTACAATGTACTGTCACTGTGACTGACTTACTGAGGCAGTTCTTCAGGCAGTTCCCATCTAATTATGAGATTTGATTTTATTAGTTGAAACCAAACTATAAAAGATGTTAGTGTAGAGCAAATATAGCATGTGCTCATATCACCTCTCCTTTTGAGGACCTATTTTATTCTATCACTCAGCAAGTGGTTGTATGGCTTTATTTTGGTAAAGATATACACATTCTAAACTTACCTGATAAAAATTAAATCTTCCAAATAATTTGGAAATGTTGTCAACTTCAGTTGTGTTCTTTTTAACCTTTACTTCCAACACATGTGGCAATATGGCCAGTGTTCTATACAACCTATGGTTCCCACATATGTGGCAATATGGCCAGTGTTCTATACAACCTATGCTTCCAACACATGTGGCAATATGGCCAGTGTTCTATACAACCTATGCTTCCCACATATGTGGCAATATGGCCAGTGTTCTATACAACCTATGGTTCCCACATATGTGGCAATATGGCCAGTGTTCTATACAACCTTTGCTTCCAACACATGTGGCAATATGGCCAGTGTTCTATACAACCTATGCTTCCAACATATTTGGCAATATGGCCAGTGATCTATACAACCTATGCTTCCCACATATGTGGCAATATGGCCAGTGATCTGTACAACCTATGCTTCCAACAGATGTGGCAATATGGCCAGTGTTCTATACAACCTATGCTTCCAACATATTTGGCAATATGGCCAGTGATCTATACAACCTATGCTTCCCACATATGTGGCAATATGGCCAGTGATCTGTACAACCTATGCTTCCAACAGATGTGGCAATATGGCCAGTGTTCTAAACAACCTTTGCTTCCAACACATGTGGCAATATGGCCAGTGTTCTATACAACCTTTGCTTCCAACACATGTGGCAATATGGCCAGTGTTCTATACAACCTATGCTTCCAACATATTTGGCAATATGGCCAGTGATCTATACAACCTATGCTTCCCACATATGTGGCAATATGGCCAGTGATCTGTACAACCTATGCTTCCAACAGATGTGGCAATATGGCCAGTGTTCTAAACAACCTTTGCTTCCAACATATTTGGCAATATGGCCAGTGTTCTATGCAACCTATGCTTCCCACATATGTGGCAATTTGGCCAGTGTTCTATACAACCTATGGTTCCCACATATGTGGCAATATGGCCAGTGTTTGATATGGCCAGTGTGTGTTGCAATACATAATGCAAAAAGGATAGATTCCCATCCCCACAAATCATGTGCCCTTGCAGCCGTTTAACCATGATCACATGTGTGCCATTTTGAACATTAATTCTTTTAATTTTAATCAACATGAAACAGATATAAAAAGCAAATTCAATCTTTTATAATGAATTTTTTAGACCTTTCCATGACAACACAGCCACAATGACCTTTTACTTAATATTGAGATAGTTTTATGATCTATGCGGCATGCAAAGCAAGATGGCTGAACTGTTAAAAACAGTGTAAAACTCCTCTCGATGTTTCCCTACACCAGCATGCTGCTTCTGTTCAGCATGGCCTGTCTTCCACCAGCCTGGCGCTCCATACCATCCACACATACCTCCCCAGCTCTGTGTTAGATGCATGATCCTGTTTCCTCATCCCCCATAAAGGTCTATATAGTCTACAGTGTTTTCTCTTCACATACTGCATTGTTGATCTGTTTAACTGATGCAACATGGCTGGCTTCTATCAGAGGAACAGTTACAGGTCACAACCAGTACTGACACTTTGCTCAGTTATTGCATTTTAATTCACTTCATGATCCCATCCTTTTGATATCATTATCGACATCTGACGATGAAAGTGGACGTGTTTAATAGGTACAGTGAGTTCAGCACCAATTAAGACACTTAGGTGAAGTGACAGGCAAGTCATGAGTTGTCCTCAGGCACAGCCTACATCAGTGAACACATTCTGTGTCTCTGTCATACAGATATGAAATATGAGTGAGTGAGTGAGTGAGTGAGTGAGTGACCGAGTGAGTGAGTGAGTGAGTGAGTGAGTGAGTGAGTGAGTATTTTGTTTTGTTTTGTTTTGCGTGTTTGTTGTTTAACTCCGCACTCAGCAATATTCCAGCTATATGACGGTGGTCTGTAAATAACTGAGTCTGGACCAGACAAACCAGTGATTGACATCATGAACATCAATCTACGTAATTGGGATACAATGACATGCATGAACTAAGTCGGTGTGCCTGACCACCCGATCCCGTTAGTTGAGTTGAAGTAGTATTATATCATGGCAAGTCAGCTTAATGGAAAGCAAGAAGTGATTGTGAAACCAAGGATTAAGGGAATGGTGATGACAAAACAAGAACCATAATCAGGAAAATCTGGAATTCACAACAACCAAAGGATTCCAGAATATCCAAGGGATGCAACTCTGCAAGGCACACTGGTCTGTCAAAGACAATTGGACCACACATACCCCTACATTCAAGCTAAGGTATGGGCTCATGACAACAGTGTCTGTGCCAGAATACTTTCTTGTGGAGTATTACCAGCACCTTCTGACATGTAGGTGATGAGACCCTGGCCAACTTGGAGTCTTCACTTCAGATATGTTGGCATAGCCAGGAAATAGGGAACAGATTGCACCTCATTCCATCACAGACAAAACAATTTTGGCTTTCTATTTGTCAAGATGTTGTTTAAGTACTTACAGAGATACATTACACCATGTACTTACTCACATACATTACACATTAATCTTGGTCACAAGAAAGGCGAATGGGCAAATTAAGCATCACTTTGTAACAGTTGACATATCAAGATTACTTTTCACCTTCAAACAGTATACCTGAAAGAACTAAGAAGAAATAAATGGAAATCCTTACTTCATTAACGATGTATGATACAAACATGGAATCAAAATCCTTTATTTCTATCAAACAAACCAGATTTTTGTCTTCCGGTCTCTTGTACCACAGGGTGAAGAGGTCAAAGTGTGCAAGCCTTAAGGTTCATTCTCTTCTCCTATCACTGATTCTCCTCTCTCCTCATTTACATCAACCAGCAATATTTACAGTTTCTCCTTCAATGAGTGAGTGAGTATGGTTTCACGCCGCTTTAAGCAATATTCCAGCAATATCACCGTGGGGGACACCAATATGGGCTTCACACATTGTACCCATGTCGGGAATCGAGCCCGGGTCTTCGGCGTGATAAGCGAACGTTTTAACCACTAGGCTACCCGATGCCACTTCTCCTTCAAGGACCAAACACATTATATAAACCTTTCATACGGATTACCTACTTTTCTTACTTTGCAATGTAAAGTATTCCTGAAACACACTCCAGGAAGATTGTTTTATCTAGGGGAACATCTGTTTTAGAAATCAAACCACCATGAAACACATTCCCGACATCAGCCAGGGCTGTGTGCTATGTACATGCACTGTTCTGCCCCAGTGACAAAACAATTCTGGCTAGATAGATAGATACACTGGATGTAAAAGACATCAGCCAATATACCTGCTCCCTTAGTTTCACTGTTGCTATTACATGATCTATTTCAGGAAACCTACTTCTCTTGGCCACAAAATTCACAACAAATTGCCTGAAAAACACAAGCATGCCCTAGGAACTTGCTTCAGGGCATGTCCTTCCTTGTTGGAAATCAAAGTAACGACTTCTATTTTCGTATTGTGCAAATTTCATTGCATAAAGCGGAAGACGTGGGAGTTTTGTTTTCATGTAGCCCAAAGCTATGTAGCCCAGTATGAATTGTTGGGTATCTTCTGGGCAATGTTGAATGTATGTATTACTATCAGTAGACTGAATGGTTCAGTGATATAACGGGGTCACAACTAATGTTTAATGTGTGTTGACATTTACACATATTACATTCCAATTCACGCCTCCAAATATTTATAGATGGCTTAGTGGTCCATTCATATAATTTCCACAGCTATTTTGCCCTTTATGCCAAATGGAAGTTGTTTCGGCCGAAAATCTACGATGGTTATTCTCTTGCATTGACAACTTATATTTAGTAATTGGCAAATGCATCATTCTGAAAATAAATGCTATGGTGGTCATATTTAATAGCATGACTACTTCCTTTAACTATATATGTTGTCATTGCAAAGGTACTTTAAATAGTCTCCGCAGTTTAAGAGGAAAAGTGAACGATGTCAAAGTGTACAGTGTGAGTTAGGTTTGATTTTATGATGCTTTTAGCGATATTCGAGCAATATCACAGCCGGGGACACCAGAAATGGGCTTCACATATTGTACCCATGTCGGGAATTGAACCCGGGTCTTCAGCATGACGAGCGAACACTTTAACCACCAACTAGGCTATCCGACCACCCCCAAAGTTTATAGACCAAAAGATTGCAGATAAAGATGCCCCTGTATGAGATTCCAGCCATCCTTGTTGCAGACTGATTACACATTGATACATGCAGACATCACTGAGTAATGGGCACAATGACATTATTAAATTGGTTGCCAAGCAGCATTAAAATTTAGCAAATTTAAAAAAATACCACATTTGCTAAACCCAAAGGTTTCAGATGAAATACCAAAAAGGCACAATCTTCATGGAAGGCTAAACTAAAACAAAACAACAGAATAAGGAATTCTGTATGCTGGATGCTGAATACAAATATGTTCTATCAATTTCTGATGTATATATACAAATAAATCTTTTAGATAATGCTTTATTTTACATGCAGATTGAATGTTACAGGTCCCAAGTGGCATAAGGTCTCTCTCACTTGTAATTATATCATTCACGCATCTACTACTGATAAATATTTATTCATCAGAAACTGGTAGTGATTATCTGCAGTGACTGGAGTGTTTAAGTGCCAGGCCTTGGAATAGCTATTCCTATAACGTCCATATTCATGAATCATTGTCAGATTATCAGTACACTAAGGTCAGTCAGTAAAAGCCAATTATACTACAGTAATATAGTAACCAGTCAAAAAACTAAAGATACACTGGACAAGTAGTAGGGTTCACTGGTTGGCCTGTGTAATAACCTATCAGTTGAGAACTGGATAGGTGAGTAGGTATAGTTTGTTTGTTTGTTGTCTAACTCCACAATAAGCAATAATCAAGCTATATGATGGCAGTCTGTAAATAATCAAGTCCAGACCAGTCAATCCAATGATTGACATCATGAGCATCAATCCATGCAGTTAGGATATGATGTTATGCATCAACAAAAGTAAGCGAGCCTGATCACCCGATCCCGTTAGTCACCTTGTATGACAATCACGACCAATTCTAACCCGGATCTTCACTGGGGAGGTATGTATAGGTAGGACAAAACTACTGGATTGCACATAACGGTACTTAACTTTCATGTCAAGACTTGCTAGGCTGGTCAAATAAACACATCTACTTCAAATTTAACATTAGATAATCGATACTTCTTCAAAATAATCCATGTTTGTGTTTCTTTTTGTGTGCCAGAGATCAGAATATGCCTAAGAAGCTCTTACACTTTGGATATGTTCATTATAGTACTGAATGTAAATATGTGTAATTATATCCAAACTAACATTTTGAATCAAACAGGACATAGTCAGTAGGTTGGCTTTGATAGAGATTATGGAAATGGGTTTCTCACATTAATTTCCAATTATGGCAGAAAAGTACAGAAATCAATGGAAATCAATTATGGTTGTTCAAGAAAGAAAGTATTTCAAATAAGCAAAGCTTCCGACTGTGGTGCAGTCCCAAAGTGAAAGGAAAGAGGCTGTCAATGACTGCCAGTATGTAGACTTAACTACTGTATTCCACGCCACTGTCCATATGGAAGACCGTACAATGGAAGAGCACACATGATGTAATGCTGATCTACAAAGACAAATGTGTCTCTAGGGCTAGGTCAAAGCCATTATGGAGCACTCAAGGGGAAAGAGAAAACTATTGAAAAACAACCATCTCTATGGAGTTGTGAAAGAGAATCATCTTCTCAGAGAATCGAAATCAAAGAACATTCTTTGAGAAACTTGCTGAAAATGACTCATTGAGGGTCTTCCTTGAGGTTCTTCATGGGAGAGTGCTGTTTCAAAAGAGATAATTAGTCAGTTTGAAATTGGAAAGAGCGTATTACTGAAAATCGTGAAACATTTCTTCAACCCATTTCCAGTGTTTCAAGGGATGCAACACTAAGCAGTTCCCAGGATGGTGTTAATGATGTTCCTATAGGTAACCAACCATCCTTCACCTGTCTTTCTGCTACGAGAGGCATATGAGAGGACAACATTTAAACACTTCACTGACTGTGTGTCAGTGTGTAAGGAAAGGTTAGACAGGGGAATGTTTTTCAAGGTATCACAAAAATATTGTAATCAATTACTTCATCACATGCCTGCACCAAATTTCTCATCACATTTGACATACAATATGATTTTCATAGAAGGAAAATGTTTAACATACCACAAATCAGCACTGGCTACATCAATAAAACTAACCGAACAAGTTTGCTATTTTTCTAAACTCAAGGATATTGTTTGATGTCATTTCAACATGTCTTTTTTCAAATTCTGTTTATTAAAAGTATGTTGTCGATATGATTTTAAAGATCATCCAAACATGACAAAAAGTCATAAATATATTCATTAAAGACACTTGGTATCGATACAATTAAATGATGGCCATATAAACACCTCAGGCAAACCTATAAACTGGCTAGATTGCCAAGTGTGAAAGACAACACACTGGCTCAGGTAAATCTAATTGCAAGGTAATTCCACCTCCCTTCAAAAGATGACACTGGAGAAACATAAACAGCAGATGCCTGCCAGGAAGCCATGGAGTTGATGTTGCTGCAATCACTTGGCCACTGCTGAGTAAAAATCCTAAACATATCGATCCTTGGACTTGTGCAATTGATTTTGGATAGAGAGATAGCTGTATCCCATTTTGAGCAAATAAACTGGTACCATTGTCTAACATTGGCAGGAATGGATTGCAAATATCAATGGAGCAACACCCACATATCGATGGTTGAGTGAGCCAAATGTACATTTATCATGACACACCGAGTGTGTGGGTTATCTCCGAGGTTTACTGCTTGGGAGTAGTACTTTGAACAACTGACCAAGTGATTCCATACAAAGAGTATTGCCTTTACAACAAAACAACCCTTGGAGTACTTCACGATGAAAACCACGTGGGGTTTCAGGGGTATAATGGTTCTCTATATGTTTGTTGTAAGAGTGAAAATGGATCAGACTTGGTACCAAGCCAGTGTGATATTACTAGAAATATGTAAACTGCGGCTCTAAACAAACCCTCTTGTGATGTAAGATTGATACTGTTGTTGAAGTTAAATTATCAGGGAGTAAGAAACTCGCGAAAAGTAAAGCACGTCATGTTTACACTTTCTAGGAACACCTGGTGTCATCAATTATCTATTCAAATAATTTTCGCAGCTATTTTGACTTTTAAACCCAATGGCATCTGTTTCAGCAGATAATATAAATATAGACTGGTTGACATTCTCTGGCATTAGCATTTTATATTTGATTCATTCGGGAAAGTAATGTTTACAAACTGCAGAAGCTAAATCAACAGTGTTGTGTTCAAAAGAAGTTCTGAAGCATTTCAAAGATTTGAAAGTAATCAACACTGGCAGCTCTGCGTGTCAAATCTAAAATTCAAATATCTTAATACATGGCTTTTCACACTGTTTCTACATGCCCTTTTATAAAAGTGGATTTGGATTTGAAAGCTGACTGCAAAACTGGTAAAAATATCACATTTTTCTAGGGAAGTTGGTTTGTTTCATCAAACCCTAAATAACACAGCAACAGTGCTCAATGTTTTCTTTTCTTCAGTGATCACACGGCTTCAAAGACATTTAAGCTACTTTGATAGAATATGTATTGTTCTCATGAATTTTTCATGAGATCATATTCAAATTTTAAAACAGTGAACATTATCAAAATGATAAAAGACACAACACATTCACATATGAAATGTTATTAAAAAGCTAAAAAATTAATGAAGACCATGAACACAAAGTTGATATTATCCTTTGTACTTAAAAGTTTTTTTTGCCAAATGTCACAGAGGCCATTCTTCCTTGATCTATAGCACAATAAATGAATCAAGGTCTTTGCTCCACAAAAGTTGCTTGCTCATACAAAATTCTCTAAACAAGTTACAGCAGCACCAAAATCAATATCAAGTTCAACTCTTGGCAAGAACTACCAAACCCTGACACAACTCCTACCAAGGCGCACCATCATGGTCAAGATGATATGGGCTGCTCCTGGACCTGAGTCATCCCATAACCATTGAACCAAAGAAAGTAGCCAAATAGAAAACAGCAAAGCCAGAGGATAATCAGTCTCGATTAGCTGCCCAAACAGATTCCATTGGGCTTAAAAGGCAAAATAACGGTGAAACAATATGAATGGCCGGCCCACTGGTGTTTGTGAAAAGGGTAAGCATAACCTGCCCTATGAGTCGTACCCACTACTTACACAATCTGCAACTTTCTAGGATGCATATTCTGTCAGGACAACAAAGTTCCATATCTCAACAAAATGTCAATTTAATGGAGTTGACAATGTTTCCTGTGAGGGGCGATAGGGTAGTCTAGTGGTTAAAGCGTGCGCTCGTCTCACTGAAGACTCCCCAGGTTCGATTCCCAACATGGGCACAGTGTGTGATGCCCATTTCTAGTGTCCCCGGCCGTGATATTGCTGGAATATTGCTAAAAGCGGCTTAAAACCATACTCACTCGCTCAATGTTTCCCGTACAGATACCTATTGCTATAATTAGCAACTAACCAAGAGGGCTGAAATTTCTTAAGATAGAAAAGGTTACCTTGAATTCCAGAGATTCCTTAATTGTGACAGCCACATTGGTAATATCTCCAAGTCTGGGTTTGGCCATGTCTGCAAGGCTGGGGTCCTCAGCATTGGTCAATCTTTCATCATTGTATTTACCTAGTAAAAACAACAAAAACAAGCATGTTGAAGGAAGGTGTGAAATATATTGGCTCCTACTAGTAGTGCTTTAATTGTGCTGTTGGGCTTATCTCTAGAGTGAAGCATTATACATTACAGTTTATCAGAAGAAAGGATGGAAAGAGGTTAGCACAGACAGAGCTGAAGTTTGATTCCAAACATGCATTACTGATGATTGATGACTGTGATATGAAAGTTACGTTTCAATATCATTCACTTCATATGTCATCAAGGAGTGTGAAACCAATGACATCCTTGACCAACACAAAAGCAAAGAATTTGGTCAGATTTTGATTGCATTATTTATACATTCACAATGGGTTTTTTCCACATGAAATTTCATTTTCATTATCCCAAAATGATATAATGTTGTTAATATCAATTTGGAAAACCTTTGGAAAAACATTTTATTCATTTTTTGAGGAATCAAATCATTTCAAACTTCTGTTGAAGCTGGGTTATATGGGAGTAGGAGTTACCATAGGTAAAGTTGGATGAATGGTCATTGACATTAAGAAACATGAAGCATTGTCTGCATGTCATGAGCAGGGAGTACAGGCAGAGTAACAATACAACTATCAAGAGATATTAGTAAGACATGATAGCATCTAGGATTGGTTCAGCATCGGAACAAAAACGAGAATGAGTTAAGAAAATAATCATTACAATTACAGAGACACTTTAATACAGCCAGTTTTATAGAAAAGGGATGAAACATGTTATCGATTGATATACATTAAAAGGCTTGAGAATGGAAAGGCAAAGAACATATGGAAATCATATTGGAAACTTAAAGACAGTATCATTCACTTGACCAAGGAAATGTAAGGATGCATTACCATTAACAAAAAGAGGGATTTTAAGACAACAATATCAAAATATTTTCTCATACATGGAGCAAGGACAGATATTTTTCAATCTTGGAGTGTTTGGAACAATGATATTATTACCAAAAGAATGATTTAGACAATACTCAAAAACTTGCAATTTATAAACTGCAAGAATTAATGCATTGGCCAAAAGAAACATAAAACCCCATGAAAAACATTTCTTTCTCCTCCTGAAATGCAAGGCATTTTCTTCTCTGTTCTGGAAAAATCACACAAAGACAAGGAAAATTTAAATTGTAAACATGCATAAACAACTCCACCGTCCTAGTGCAAAATACTCTCCCCAAGTCCATCAACATGTGTATGAACATTCCAGTACAATACTCAGATGGCACATCTAGGAACTGTGTCTGTAAGGATCTGTGCTCAACTGGTTTCATCAGGTACTAACAGGGAGAGAGACATGGCACCACTTGACAAGCTGTATCTAAACTTTGAACTGACATACACAAATGACCGAAAGGTAATTCCAGGTTGATCTTATAACTATATCGTCCAAAAAGTATTTGTACCATTAGAGCCAAATAGCTTTTGCAATGGCACAGAAAATGAAGCATTAGGTACCTTGTTGTCAAAAGAAATACTAGACAGGCAGATATTTTAAATGACTCAGTCAATTGACTAGAGCCTAAAGTTTGTTTTTGTTTGTTTGTTGTTTGACACCACACTCAGCAACATTTCAGCTATATGACAGCAGTCTGTAAATAATCAAGTCTGGACCAGACAATCCAGTGATTGACATCATGAGCATCGATCCATGCAATTGGGATACGATGACATGCGAGAACCAAGTGAGCGTGCATGACCACCCGATCCCGTTAGTCGCCTCTTACGACAAGCATAGTTGCCTGTTACAGCAAGCATGGGTTGCTGATGACCTGTTCTACCACGGATCTTCATGAGTGCCTAAAGTTGCAGACTTTCGAGTGAATGGATTATTACAATAAAGTGTTAAGACCTTCGCAGAGCTTCGTGTCCTACCGAACTGTACAAGTCGTGTAAAGGTGTACCATGTTCCCCTACAACTGGGACAACACACAACAAAACAGACAACACACAACAACGATGTCTTCTCAACCAGCCACTGTCCAGTTGAAGTAAAACACACAATATTTCTATAGTGGGAACAAATCATAAAAAATAACACTATCAAAATGCTGTGGTAAAACGGAAAAAATAACGTCAAACCATGCCAGACTGGCGGCGCCACCTCCGTGAATCGGAGCTGGGTGCTGTGAAAAATTGCAGGCTATAAGCATTGCCAGCAGCATGTCATGAGCTAGGGCTACAGGTAAAGTAACAATACAACTATCAAGGGCACACCCAGATACTTATCTGCTACCGGAGACTCTGCTTGGTCAGAATCTTCGTCTAAAATCAATTAGAATTTTTCAGTGAAACTAACTACTTCTAGTGTTAATGTTATGTCATGAACAGAAAATGATTTTTTGCATACAGGTTTCGTCTTAACAATTGATTAGCATGAGATAGTAATATTAGAACATTCTTTTGCAGTTTTATTGTTAAAAAGTGAACATGAAAGAAATTGATTATGACACATTCTACACGAAATTGTAATGTATCTAAAGAATAATACCCTGTTTAAAATATGCTTACAATAGGTATGTGCTCATCAATGTATTTCAAGTAGTAGCACTTTTTGTTAGAAATGTCACATGTAATAGAAATTCTGCAAAAGGATCACACATCAATAACCCTACACGGCAAAACAATAACCCTTAAAAAGTTTTGACTCCATGGAGAAATGGCTTTCAAGATTTTTTATCGAACATCAATTCTCAAATAACTCTAGAGGTTCCTGCAAATTCAAAGTCTGTATAAATTAAAACTTACAAGGCATAGAACATGAATATGGGATTCAGTGGGGGAAACGACAAACAAGATAACCCATGATCACGTCTCAAACTTGCCACGTTGTGTCAAGTACAATCATTATCAATCTAATATAAATGTACAAAAGTGTGATATATATAAAAGCAGTTTACTTCTTTTGTATTACGCAGCATGGCATGTAATCCCTATATAAACAGGTAATGATACATTGTAAATTGTTCAGGGTCACTACAAGAACAAAACAGAGACGAAAGGGAAAGATACTATGCAATAGAACTGCTTGTAAATAATATTCATTTGATGAAGATCTTAACAGCAGAAGAACAATGGTATCCAGTATGGCGGTATCAGTGAAGACAAGCTATTGATCATGTGGCAACAAGGTTGTCCTTCCTTAAGGAACTACGTCGGCCATTGTTCAGCTTGTCACACACACCATACACCATTATCCTTCATGATTATCACATTTCATAACACTCCTTTATCTTCCAGAAAGACTGCATGTCCCAATACTTCCTATAACACATGTATGGGGGTTGTGTGATGTGACCATGTTACATTAGGCTAAGGTGGCAGGTGCAAAATCAACCTTTGTGACCTAAATGTATTGTGCAGATATGGCCCAAGGTGTTATGCAGAAAATCTACCTAAAGCTTGTGTTAACATGATTCCTTGATGTGATGGAAACAAAGGTTTTTGTGCTCTAGTAAAACAAACCATTTAATGGTGAACTCGTAATATGTGTATAAACAATGTAGAATGGAAATACAACACATGGTCACATAGAACAAGAAATATTGGATAATTTGCAAAATTACAAGTCCAATATCCATTAAACACTTTCTTACATTTCTAGATTCAAGGCAACATTTCACAGATCATAAACAACCAATGATATGAGAAGTTTGACCATTGTTGACTAATTAGCAAGATTAATCATTGACAAATTATAAAATGTAAAATGTCCAATCCAGATCTACGTTAAAGAAGTATGTTCAGGAACATCAATTTTTATAATCTCATGTAAGAGTTGCACATTTGCAATCGGATGAGAAACCCCTATGAAAAATACCCATACACTCATTAACTTCACTTCAAGAAATAACTGTTAAAAAACCTGGAAATATGCCACCTTTGATAATATCTTTATTAACAACTCAAATCTTCATTACACTGGGGCAAAATAGAATTATGTTATTATCTGCTTCTGCTTTAGATGTTTTTAAGTTATCTCCATACTCCTATACATTATGATTTCCCTTTTATGTCAATGTACAGCCTTAAAGTAAAGTTCTGCTAAGCAAGACACAATCTAGGGGATAGTTGTAAGAGATGCTGCCATATCTCCTTCCAGCACTTCACTGAACAAGAAACACAATCTGAATGATAATAACATGATATAAAACTGTATCTTCTGCCAAGAATGTGTGTGGTTTACAGTCTGCAACGTTATCCTGCTTTGCAATGTGTTAATACCATGACTAAATAATGCACTTACATGCAGATATAGACAGATGATACATTACTGGATCTGATGCATGGAATATAGGACAAAATAGAAATGCCGAGCTTCGTATGAAAGGTAGGTGTAATCACTGTAGTACACTTTTCAATGTAATCAAACATTTCAAATTGCGGTGACCTCATTTTCTTATTCTTTATCTTTATATTTACAGTGCAGCACCTAACAAACATAGATCCAAGATAAGAGGAATACCTCAGTTGTAATAAAGGCACAAACTTATCATCTTGAAGGAAGAGCTTGTAATCATAACTATTTAACTCATGATGATTTAAAGTTTCTACCTTATGCATTACGTTACCGGTTTAACATACAATGGACACACTAACTACATGTAAACACACTACAGCATCCATCTTTCAGTCACAACACCAGTCTGCATTAGTCGTGCTATAAGTCAGCTTAAATAAGGAGAAGATGCGGCATATTAACTGCATACAATTCTCATGAATCTTCCAGGGAGATTGGATCCAGAAGCGAAGGTCACTCAGACTGCACTCTATGTTCCTTTACTTTTCGCTCGGGTTACATAGGTGAACCATGAAGAATTACCATCTTCAGCCTGTCTTACAGCTATGATGGTTGGTTATGCACAATGATCCAATAAAACTTACAACTAATCAGAAGTTCCTATGCAAGTCATTTCACATCCTTGTACTACTTTCTCACAGCATACGGCCTGCCTTGAAGTCAGCTACTTCACACAAGTTTCCCTCAAGCAAGTCGATCTTGAAATGATTCAGCTTCAAGGTTGTACAAACTATATACACTAAATTATGGCGTTTCTCTGAGGAAGATGAGAAAATGAAACGGCTTGACACCACAAGCACCAGAACTTGCAGTGCTACAGATGTTTTTCAAGAATATCAACACCTCACTTTACACTTAAAGGTTGTTATTAAATCATGAAGAAACTACATGAATGCCAGTTTCCAGGTCTTATAGGACTGCCTCCGTGGTCTAGTGGTAGAGCATCTGCCCGGAGAGAGGAAGGTCTGGGGTTTGATCCCTGGCCGTGTCATACCAAAAGAGGTTAAAAGATGGTACTTGTTGTTACCCTGTCTGTCGCTCGGCATCAAGGGGCTAAAACAAGGACTGGTTGGCTCAGAGTCAGTATACTGTGTCTGAGTGGGGTATTTATGTTAAACTGCGGCATGGTATCTCAATGTGCTAGCACCATAAATCGGCATCAGTCCAGACTAGTACAAGCAGCCACACACACACACGTGCATGGACGTTGCTATATAAGTGCAATAATCTTGGGACGCGATGTTAAACCCCACTTCACCTCACCTCCAGGCCTTATTATACACTTTTTTGACTAAGGAAAGGGTTTGGTGGCTTTTGGTTGCTTAGGTATATAAAAGCGACAAACCCTTTCCATATTCATAAGAAATCGATTGCCCAATTCGATTGCATGATTCTGACTACATCATGAGCAATTGTTTATGAATCACTATCAAATAGTGATGATACCAGGTGATCACGAAAAGGTTAGCATATCCTGCCCCACCAGTGACACCATCACAAACACATGCAAAGGCAAGTCAACTGTTCACTGGAAAAAACATGGGAACATATGGTACAAGTCAAAATAGGGAATTACACTGGACATCAATTTTGTCACTGATGAGTCAAATTTGGAAATGTCCTCCACATGTCTACCACTCTTTGAAAGCTTCATGGGGGCCTTGAATGGTGTAACCTTCATCAAACAAGTTCTGAGAAAGAGTCGTATGATGCTCTTTGCAGAAGGAACATGCTCAGTTGTACTCAAAAGTTGTAAAATGTAGTTTGTTGAGCTCAATCTTATAACTTTTCTCAATAACAAGTGACATGGATCAAATGGTGCCATATTGTTTGTGCTCCTGAATATTTCTCCATTACAAACCGAAATTTGGCACAATCATGCTTAACCATCATGGCTGATATTCTGCTTTCATTCTAACCAGTTATCCTTGATAAAACTTTGTGGTCAGGACATTTTGATATGCAACAAGAGCACTAGATGACTTCTATGTACTGGTCCTCTGTAGTTCTGACAAATTCTGGTCAAACCCAACAACTGTTCTGACACAAAAAATCTCATAACCTGTACCATTGAAAATTTGTGGGAAACTTCTTTTTCTTTCCTACATTGATATACATTATTACCACTGGTCCGGAATCAACTAGTTGGATCCATTTCCATGCTGTGCCAGATGAAATGAAGACCATTACTCTGGGATGCTGATTGACTGATATTCAACAGCTCACTCCTCGAAATGGGATGAACGAACGTTGTTACATAAATGTAATGCTGCTCCATTGATTGAGAATCTCATCAGACTGCAAGGAAGCAGTGCTAATGATGGCACATAAAAGAAGAAGATCTGATCAATCTTAATTTTCAAACTATATAAATTACAAGTTTACATTTGACAGAAGGATGACATTCATGAAGGACACAGGTATCATAATATTGTGATGAGATAAATCAAACTCCGCAAATGCTTCTCAGTGTCCCGACATAATGGCACGATATACTATTCACAAAAAGTTGAGGACCATCCGATTCATTGAAATTACTAGAATTATTGTCAGATGACAGATTAACTAGAGTACTATTAAATAACAGGTTGGTCCTTAACTTTTTTGGAGTAACATATTATGGCACCTGCACTACATATGAATACATTTATCACTTAGTAAGTCCTTAATTATTACAATTACATGACTCACGATGTACATGTGCAAGTTTACACTGTCTGAACTCTTCACAACACATGTAGCTCCCTTTGTGAAAACCTCCAGTACAAAATTAAAGTCTTGTGATGACTTCAAAGACACTCTGCATGACAACATGGCTATTACACAGGAGATTCCGCTGCCAGGTTTATCAGATCTTCCACCACAGTCTCCACGTGGGTCTGATCACTCGTCTAACCCCCTATATTTGATATTCACCATACGGATTTGATCAACCCAAGGAATGTTTTAAAGGGAAGTATCAAAA